AAATTGAAACAGCCACTTTGCAGAGCAAATAAAGAGCAAAGTGAAAACTTCTTTTCCAAGAAGTGGGCCCTAGAGAATCACACACAAGACTCATTGATTGTAACCTATGTGTTTATGAGTGAAAATGTGGGAATAACCAAATGTTCATAAGTAGGAGACTGGGTGGGTGGTTGAGTTCATTGCAGTCGCTCAGTCGTGTCCGACTCTTTGCGACCCCATGAATCGCAGCATGCCGGGCCTCCCTGTCTATCACCAACTCCTGGAGTTTACTCACACTCATGTCCATCGAATCGGTGATGCCATCCAGCCATCTCATCCTCTGTCGTCCCCTTCTCCTCCTGCCCCCAATCCCTCCCAGCATCAGGGTCTTTTCCTGTGAGTCAGCTCTTCGCATGAGGTGGTCAAAGTATTGGAGTTTCAGCTTCAGCATCAGTCCTTCCAGTGAACACCCAGGACTGATCTCCTTTAGGATGTACTGGTTGGATCTCCTTGCAGTCCACCACAGTTCAAAAGCATCAATTCTTCGGCGCTCAGCTTTCTTCACAGTCCAACTCTCACATCTATACATGACCACTGGAAAAACCATAGCCTTGACTAGACGGACCTTTGTTGGCAAAGTAATGTCTCTGCTTTTTAATATGCTATCTAGGATGGGTGGTAAACTACGGTAAATTTTTATCCCATTGAGTTCTATAAAGCACCGAAAATGGATGACTTAGAACAGGGGTCAGCACATCGCTCACTGCATGTTTCTGTAAATGAGTATTTCTGACTCCCAGCTACACTTATTTCTTAATGTGCTGTCAGTGCTGCTTCTGCCCAGCGACAGCAGAGTAGTAGTCATGGTGAAGACGCTACAGCCACAAAGCCTGAAATAATTTACAGACTGACCCTTAACAGAAGTTTGCCGACCGCTGAACTAGAGTTCCATGTATGAAGCTGTACATGTCAAAAATAATGTATGAAACATAGCTTTTTGCAGAGTAATGCATGTAGTAGTTTGAAAACATGCAAAATACCTTGACATTTATTGATGCCTCGTATATATAATAGTATATGCGTTAGAATCATCAACACCAAATACATTGGCAGTGCTTGCCATAGTGAAAGGAGTGTCTAGAGGGGCGTCAACGGTTTCGATGCTATTCTGTTTCTTTAACAAATGTAGAACAAGTAAGAATGTTAGGATTTGATATGTAACTGGATCGTGAGATGTGAATGTTGTATTACTTAACTGTGCCTTTTTGAACTTTAAGAAATACTCCATAATTTGAAAATTAGGTATTTTGATCTGATGTGTTAATAATGACAAATTAGTTAAGAATTTGATCAAAGTGAATGCTCTTAATATTTCGTTTTCTAGCAAAGATTTTTTAAAGTATTTGTATTAAAGTAACAGAAATGGAAGATTTCATATTTCAGTTTAATTTTACAGAGGGTATTGTTTTGCTTTTTAATTTTTTATCAAAATTTTCAAATGTGCAGAAAGGGATATTTTTTATGTGTACAGTTAATTGACAGAAAGGCACATAAGAATAGCTAAGAAGAGTAGCCTGAGCCTTTTTAGGTTTAGGATAATCGTCAGGAAGGCAGGCCTGAGCCTAAGAGGTGCAGTAAAAACTAAGGACAATCAATGGCCCTTTATTCACAAAAAAAAGACAACAAAAAAGTATTTCACCCATTGCATCATGTAAATGTGTAATTTTTAAAATAACTGAAGAAAAGTAGAACTAGAAAATGTATATTGTGGAAGAAAGAATATAAGTGTTTCCGTTTTAGTCTTTCCTTTTACTAAGAGTTGTGTGACCTTGCAGGGGTCATTTTAACTTGTTGGGGCCTTGTTTTCTTAAGAATAGTGTGAAGCAGTTAGTTTAAATGATCAAACTAGTCTTTCCCATCTGATTCAATGTCTTGTTGACTCCTGTTTTCAATCTGTTGTTTTTATTAAAAATTATCATCCAACATAAAAAGTAAATGTGGAAAAGATGATATTTTAAAGCTCAAGGTAGTTGAAAATTTCGTAAACAGTGCCTGTTTCTTCAAGTCAGGAGTTCCAGACTGAACTCCTCAGGGTCTTGCCTCAGTCTTTGTTCCTCCTATTTCTTTCTTCTCATATATATGTGTTCCAACTTTGGGTTTGCTCCTGTGGTTCATGGTTGCTGCTTTTTTCCAGAAAGTCTTTCTGGAGTAGTTTAGGCAATTAGGTGAGTGGTAGAGCCTCTCCCGTGAATTCGCCAACACTGGAGAAAAGCATGCTTTGTTGGGGAAATTGGTGTGTTCTATTTTGGATGGGAAATCTGATCGATTGTCAATGGGACATTCAGATGAGATGTGGAGTAGCTTCTTAGGACACAGATCTGGAGCTGAGTGAGATGAAAGGATCGATCTGGTATGTAGTTTGGTTAACAGCTTATATGTGGTAATTTAAAAAGAGTGTGGACTAGGAGAAAAATGCAACAAACCAAATCCTGAAGAAAATCAGCACTTGAGGGAGAAGGAAGAAAGGAGAGGAGAGGGAGAAGATTGAGAACTGGAGGAAAACTAGAAAGATGTGACTTCATGGAAGCCGAACATATCAGGCGGGATGAGGACCATGAAGAGTGTTCACTGAATGTAACAAGTAAGTCATTGGTGATCTTGACGAAAACATTTCCCGTGGGTTGGTGATGCAGTGCCCCACGGGTTGTGGCAGGCTGAGGACTGGATGGGAGCACGGAATGTAGCCAGTTCTTTCAAGAAGCTTTGCTCTTCAGGGAGGATGAGGTGAGGCTATGGGATCTTTTTGAGAGAAGTTATTAAATGCTCAGTGGGAAAGAAGAAAGGGTTGAAGACAAGCACCAGGGTAGTTACTGATGGGCATCACACAGGATCAGCTTCAGCAGTGATGTTGTGGCAGAGGAACGAGGCAAACGAGGATGTGGGTACAGTGGAAATATCCAGTTTAGGGAGTTTTTCCTCCTCGTTGAAGGTAGAGGTGGTTACCCACCGAGAGCGAGAGGGCTGGGTAGTAAGTAGTGTCCTGCTCAGTGCAGGGGTTGAAATAGTCGCTGTGGAGAAGCCTTGGAGAGTGAAGATGCTGATTAGAGATCAGGGAGACTTCTAAACTGGAGACAGTAGTGCAGCGGTGGTTTCATCTGCATGGCTGTGAGATTTGTATTTTCTTTGAAGCAGCTCCACCTGCAGCCTCGATGGGAACCTCAGTGTTAGGATAGAGAAGGTGACCAACGGTTGGTTTGATTCAAGTTGCCCTTTTGCCAGGTAGGTGTGACAGAAGTATGGGACGAGGGTGTGAAAGAAGTTGGCAAGAAGGTGATTCAAGAGCTCGACCATGTGGTCTATAGAGCAGGGGTCCCTTGACTACAGCTCACAGGCCACATCTGGCCCACTTCCTGCTTGTTTTTGTAACATTAACATTTTTACATTAAGTACCTGCATACTATCCATCACATGCCTCTTGGCTCACATAGCCTAAAGTATTTACTCTCTGGGACTCTAAAGAAACGTTTCCTGACCCTTTGTCTAGACTAAAATAGGGTTAGAGTAAAAACAGGATTGAGACTTAGAGATATGTAGAAAGTAAGGGTTCAAGGAACATAAATTCTCAGTAAAGTCCCAATATTGAGTACATTGGGCAGCTGAGTGGCAGACCAGGAGGGACAGGAGCTCGTGAGTAAAGATTTCAGAGCTGGGGCGTCTGTGAGTGACAGCCAGGCCAGGCTGGGGCCGTGGTAGTGGGGGGCAAGTAGAAGGGGCGGTGACGGTCCGTGGAGTTGAGGTCAGGGAACTGAGAACCCAGGTGGAGATAGTCATCCCGGCCTGGAGGAAGGGAAGGCCGGGAGGATGCCATTCAGCTTACTGGTTAGGGATGGTTAATATAACAGAATCAGAGAAGACATGGGTTCGCTTGAGCAAGAGCTGGCCCTGAAGAAGTGTCTGGTGAGTAATGTGGCTAATGACTGTTGGCCGCCGCGTGACCAGGCCACCCGGGATGGCTGTTCTCTTGCTCTGCCCGTCCCCTGCCGGCAGTGCATGCTTCATCTGCTCCCATGACTGACCTTCTGCACAGCTGCCCCAGGCCCCAGCTAGTGACTGTTCTCATCTTTAGGTCAGAGTGGCTTTGCCGGGAGAGGGTGTAGCCCAGCTGCTGGGTTAGTAGATGGAAGCATCGCCCAGGGAACTTGGGACCTGGAGCTGGAGACGGGTTCCAAGGGCCGTCAGGTGTCTCACTGGTTATGCCTGTAGAAGACGGCAACCTCCCATTGTTGCTTTAGGTCTCCGGGGCAGAAGAGCATGGGCAGGTGTGTAGGAGGTCCGTCCTGAGCAGGGTGACGGTGAGGCAGGCACTGAGGACTGCGGCGCACGGACAGAGAGCCGCAGCTTGCCCTCCCTCAGCCTCTAGGGACTGCTCAGAGATGCCTTCATCGCTGAAGTCATCCTACAGGGCGACCACTAGGTGGCAGTGTTGTTGAAGAGCTTCCTCATAAATGACCTTCAAGTCTCTTCGAAATCCTGTGATAACACAGGTGTGATGCTTTTCTCTAAAATACAACAGTCCGTTTTATTCACGGGTGATTCTTCACTTCTGATTCTTCTCGCTTTCTTATTGAGCACACACCCTGCTGCAGGCACTTTTAGGACTACAAACGGCAGCATCTCTTGGCGCTGTTTATCCATGGGGACCCTCGTTTGGCCACTATTTCTTTATATCTCATTCTTTCTTGCCTTTACTTTTTTACATGTCTCCTTTTGTTCTGACCTCAGGACCACAGATAGAACATTGTTAATGACCGACATAAATCTCATGGCATAACTGGTTAAGAATTCTAAATGAAGCCTTTGCTACACTCTCCTGGGGCTTGTATGGTAATGGTTCACGTACAGTGAGTTCTCTGCATGTTTTTTGAGTTGAAATCTTCCATTTCTGTAGTCACATCACGTGTTCCTTTAGGCAGAGCTTGAATTTAATGTGCTGTTCTGTGTTGTGCTTGTTTTTTGAGTAGTTGATGGATTTACAGCTGAGTGACAGTAACTTCCGTCGACACATCTTGTTGCAGTATCTCATTTTATTTCAGTATCTCAAGGGGCAGGTCAAATTCAAAAGGTGAGTTAACATGGGTAATAAATGGCTTATAAAAGTCAGCAAAGAGAAAGATTGCTTACTGATGTATTTGATGTATTTTCTTATGTACCGGGCTCATTTTATTTGTAAGGCTCACATCCCTGAAAACCGGATAACCAAGGGCTTTTGTAAGATACAAGACACTAAGGAATTCATTTTAGAGAAAAGGCCGTCAGTGTCTTTCCTGGTGAGCGCCAGGCATCCCGGAATTCTCAGTTGTTGTGGGTGGAGCTGTTCCTCACCTCGCTCAGAACTTGTCCCAACCTCATTTGCTAACTCAGCCAATAATGGTTTTTCTCCAGGTGTGGGACTGTCTAGGACATTACAACTGAAAAGAATTAAATCTTTGAAGCACGGAGGAGTTCTGGTTTCTTTGGCTTTTCAGAGAAGCTGCTCGGGATCTGCGCTGTCAGTCTCGTACCTCCTGTGTGCAGCCCCATCCTGCTTGCCCCACGCACCCGAGGCAGAGCTCCCCGTAACTGGGTGGAAGTGTGTAGGGCAGTGTTGCGTCAGTTGTGTAAAGAACGTGGCTTTCTTCCTGCTGGTTTTGAATCCTACTTTCCTCACTCACTAGCCACACTTCAGCTTTCAGACTTGTAATTTTAAGGTAACACATAGGGAGCACTTAAAGGTGTCGTTACCCTTGTCTGTTGTGGAGGTGTGGTATGGCATAGTAGAAACGAGGGGCAGACCTGGGTTTGAATTTAAGCTTCAGACCTGAGCTTTGAGCCCCTGTAGTGTGTTTAACATATGCACATTTCCTCGTTTTGAAAATTTAATGAATGATTTATGTGAAGTCCTTAGATCCTAGCATTATCAGTATTCATTGGATGGCTATAAACTACAGAGAACCCAGTACCCAGTGAGAGCTGAACTGATGGCAGCTACTAACAGTTTGGGTCTGTCTTCAGCCTTCTCTTGGGTTTGGGGATTTCATTTATTACATTTAGAATGCATTTTAAAGGAACACAGTATGAGTTATTTGACTGCATCTTGGAGAGGAGTATGTTAGTATCTTCTCTGAGGCTTTTATGCCATATTGAACTTATTCTGGAGAACAGTCATTGTTCTGTACATAGTTAATCAAATTGATTCAGTGAATGTTTTATTCCCCATTATATACTTTAATGGCTTCAATTTCAACCATCTTTCTAAAGAATAAAATACAAGACTTTTACAATTTCATTGTGATTGTTCTCATTTTGGTAATTTTTGACACTGTTTACAGTTCACTTCTCTGTTACATGCTTTATATTTCAGACAGTAGATAAACCTTAAAGTTGAATAAACATTCTTGTAACTCAAGCATGCTTTTATTGCTTTGTTTCCTAGTTCAAACTATGTTTTAACTGATGAGCAATCACTCTGGATTGAAGATACTACAAAATCAGTTTATCAAGTAAGTTCATCACGCAACAAACCCATGATTGAACAAAATGAAAATTTAGAATTTTCTTTGTTTCAGCCCCAAATAGGAAAATAAGGATAAAGTTAAGCTCAGGTACAAGACCACAAACACTTCTTGGTTCTCTGCCTACAACCACTCCTATGATGCAGAAAGTTGTTGAAAGCTTAGTATATTCTTTCTAATCACAGCTACTATCTGAAAACCCCCCTGATGGAGAAAGATTTTCAAAGATGGTAGAGGTATGTGTTTTATATTTACATAGTCTTTTTGGCACCCAGCAAACTCTCAAAGCCTTCATTATGGAAATGTACTTTATTTTCCCCAGCATATATTAAACACTGAAGAAAACTGGAACTCATGGAAAAATGAAGGCTGCCCAAGTTTTGTGAAAGAAAGGTAAATGTATACTCATTTCAAGCAGTATGAGAAAGGCATTTCAGAATATAACTTGACACGATTATTTTACATGACATACAGATAGGTGTAAATGTATTCATGTAACAGTATAAACTGTACTCTATAAAAATAAAACGGCTTTGATTTACTTGTTATTAATTATTGAGGGGAAAATGCTTGCTGTGTATCCACATCTCGTAGTTTGTCCCCTGGTGTGGCATTTTTGTCTTCTGATGAGTGTAATAATATGAAGCATCCATGTACTTTAGGAAGAAAACAGTAACTAAATTTTCTTGCACGTTTAACACTGTTCCATCTCTGCCATCCATCTGAAATCCCAGTGTGTTTTCACAGAACATCAGATGCCAAGCCCACAAGAGCAGTGCGGAAAAGAGCAGCGCCGGAAGACTTCCTGGGGAAAGGGCCCAGCAAGAAAATTCTGATGGGAAAGTAGGTAAACCTGTCTCCATAGCGGGGGATGTTATCATAGAAGCTTTTATATTGTGAAAATATTAATGTAAGAACTCTCCAGGTTTTGTGTTGGAATTTCCAAGTTTCTTGTGTTTGGTATGTACATAGATGACTAAAGCAAACTACACCCAATTAGTTTGTGCGGTTCATACAAGACAGAACCTCCGTTTTGTCTCCGGCTTCCAAGACCCACAGCTGTACGTTCCGCCACGCCCCCCATGCCAGACAGCCCACTTGCCGTTAGACGGATGCGGCCTGTTTCTGGTTGTTGCGGGGTACTATAACCTTTCATTTCTTCACCTTCCGGTTAACTATTCTTTGCTTTATATTGCATTTGATTACTTTAGAAAGAGGTTAATGGTTATTATTACTTAATAAAATATATGCTCAAATAGAAAATTTGCTAAATACCAAAATGTAATGATCAAAACTCATCACCATCCCAAAATTCACTGTTTACTCCAACTATTTTTATAGCTTTAATGTATAAGAGAATGGTGTCTATAAACAACATATTTATTTTTGTGTGTTTTGTAGTGATGAGTTAACAAGGCTTTGGAATCTCTGTCCTGACAACATGGAAGCCTGTAAATCAGAGACAAGGCAAGTTTAAAATGTTTCATGTGAAGTGTTGCTTTTCTCAAATGTTAACTAGCATAGAATTTTTTGTCAGCTATAAGCAGAGCTCAAAAGAAATTTTAAAATTTATTGTCATTGACTTCGGCTCAGCAGAATATAGCTTCCCATAAAACATCTAGAGGTGCTAATAAAATAATTGTAGAAATCACAAGAAGGAAGGATTCACCAAAGAAGGGAGACTGAAAAACCAGAGTAAGAACTGAAGCTTGGTTACTTATAGCTGGGGAGCAGTGCAGGTTGAGTCCCGCTTTGGGAACCAAAAGCGGGTTCTACAGCAACAGGACAGAAGGGAAGGCTTCGGGCCTGCAGATGGTCACTGAGTGCCCCTGGGTAAAGCTGAGGCCCTCAACACACTCTGTAAGAAAAGGGCAGGGCGGAAGGAAGAGGGCCTGGCTCACTGGCACCGAAGTGAGGAGCTTATCCACTCCCCCCTGAGATGTGGGCAAAAAGAAAAAGGTATTCCCTGAGGAATTACAACCGTATCTGCTGTTATGTGGCCTCAGAGTTGAAACTTACACTAAAGACTCCCAGGCTGATGGCAGAAAGCTTTTCCTAGGGGAAGGGGGAATCACATCTCCCACCTAATTCACTCAGGGATTCTACAGATAAATCTGAAGATAAGCTCACCATCCAAACCTAAAACAATTTACCATGACTAAGAATCAACAGGTAGAACAAGCAACTCAAAGGAACATGACAGTCTCAAAAAGGACCAGGCAAATTTGAAAAAACAAGTAAATCTCCTAGCAACAAGAAATTATAGCCATTTTGTACAACACAGAGAATATGCTAACATGACAGTCTCAAAAAGGACCAAATTTGAAAAAACGAGTAAATCTCCTAGCAACAAGAAATTATAGCCATTTTGTACAACACAGAGAATATGCTAACGTTTTGTAATAACTGTAAATGGAAAATAACCTTTAAAAAGAGTCACTTGTCATTTCAATATGACAAACTTTAATCTCTTTGGAGAGACCCATCTTTTAGTCATAGTCATCTGATCAAATTCTTGGGTCTTACTTGCTTGAGTGTATCAAATTTTATTTCTAAATACAAATTCAAGAAAGATGCAGTTAAAAACCAATCATGCTACCATGGTAACAATCTAAACTAAGCTCAGTGTTAAACCATATTGTCTGGTTATCATTTCAGTTTGGTTCTGGTTTTTAAAAAAATTACCCATGGATGTGGATGTGAAAACCTCCTGCTTGCTGGTCAAATTTAAATGCTCTTAAGCCCCTGGCTGCCCTCTGTCGCACATGACGGCATACAGTGCTGGGTGTGTTCCCTTCCAGACTGTAGACCGTATATAAGGGGCGGGGGGCCGTTACCACACTGCCCTCCACTGTCCCCTTTTGAGAAGTTTAGTTTTGCATCACCTCCTTAAATATCTGCGTTCCTAAGTAATCTAACTGTAAATCAGTGTGGTTAATACTAGAATCTTTATTGCCTCCGTTTTATGAGTATTAAGCACACACATGATCTTCACTAGTTATTTTAACACCCAGGGAATACATGCCAACTTTGGAGGAATTCTTCGAAGAAGCCATTGAACAGGCCGACCCTGAAAACATGGTTGAAAGTGAATACAAGTAAGTAGTTTCTCATGAGCTGATTTCCTCTATCTTAAGCACTGAATATGTACCAGAACACTAAGGGAGACCATTGACACGAGTAGTACTTTTCTCTTAGGTGAGGTTATCTGCCAACTTCATGTTACTCCCATGTCCTGATTTCAACGACCATTCCCATTTTGACAGACAAGCAACTTAGAATGATGCTTTGTGTCAGAAGTGGAAAGATCCCCTTAGAACCCATCTGTCACCTCTTTTTTCTCTGTTCCCCTTCAGTTCATGGTATGTCCAGCAGCCACTGATAATGAGCTACTCTTAAGACCTCATGGGGGCCTCCAGATCACTTGCAGAAAATTTTAAATGGAACAGATCTGTGCTCTGGGTTCTCTGTGGCTCACCTATTTCTGGAACAGGGTCTCTAGCCTCAGAGGTTTTTCTTGCCATTCTGTGCACCACCTGTTCCTGCCACACGGGAACATTTGGTAGATCCTGTTCTTGGCATCAGTGTTTATGGTTTAGGCTACTGCTGTGTCCTTTTCAGCTTTAGAGTCATTTTTTATTCTCCAAGGTTGATACTGAGCAAATGAAAGTTTGGATGCTGTATGTAAATTTTTTTTAAAGCAGATATTAAGTTACATGATGACATCTGTTGGGTTTATAAAATATTCTGAAACTCACACCTGCAGGTGGCACTGCCAGTGTGGATAGAAACGCAGTGAGCAGTGAGCCTGAGCCTCTCTAAGGGTGAGGCAGGACTTCTGTCCTGCACACACAGCACCTGGCCAGTCCCGGACGCGTACTAGTTGACCTTTAAGTGTCTGTAAACTTTTAAAGTGTGTTTGCTGCATATGAACCTGCCCCTTCGGACTCTGCTGATTTCTATTTGTAAGTGAACTGCATGCTGAGAGGTTCTTTAGGGCTACGGTCAGTGAGAAGAATGGTGCCTTCAGCTACTGATTTGAGCGTAGAGTTTCATCTGGTGAACTTAAGTACATTAACTAGAAGGGAATGTAAAAATTATAAATAACTATAAATCACAAGATTGATATCTCTTTTTATAGGGCTGTGAACAACTCAAATTATGGTTGGAGAGCCCTAAGACTGTTAGCACGCAGAAGCCCTCACTTCTTCCAGCCAACCAACCAGCAGTTTAAAAGTTTGCCAGAATATCTCGAAAACATGGTAATAAAGCTAGCCAAGGAATTACCAGTAAGTAGGAGTGATGAGTGTTTTATCCTTCAGTTGGCGTTCTCTTCTTTTGTAAAACTGCTGTTGCTCTTTGAGCAAAGAGCTGAATTTCACTTTAATCATGTGGAAAAAGTATGATCCACAAACCCTGTTGTTTTAAAATGAGGAAATAATGCCTCTGAGTATACATTTATAGGAAGTATCAATACATAAATTGAAGTAACTTTACATGTTGTATAAAGTTGTCATACTTTGATTATTCTTCCTGTTTGCCAACGCATTCTGTTTTATCACAGGCAGGGCCCATGGGGTCGGGGTAGGCAACTTGGCCTATCTTCCTACTCTGTTCTCTTTTCTAACACAATATGGTAATAACTATACTGTATGCATACAACCAAATAGAGTTACTCAAAGCATGTTGTTAAGCATATGGTTGGTCCCCTGGTCTGCCCTTGTTGTTACCATGTATGTGCTGGGTATGTGCAAATCATCTCACCAGGCTTCCTACTGACTCCCTTCTTCCCAGGCTGGGGTGAAGAGAGTCCTTCCAACCTCTGGTTGTCCCCCGTCCTTCCTTCTCCAGGTTAACACTGTCCCACTATGATCCTTACCTGACGTTCACATTTAATAATCTTGGGGGTAAAGTTCTGGGCCCCATAACTGGAATCTCTTATCTAAGATCAAAACTATCCCCACTTCTCTGATTGTAGAAGTTGGCACTCTAAGACATTCCTTTTTACTCATTGTAGCCTCCTTCTGAAGAAATAAAAACAGGTGAGGATGAAGATGAGGAAGATAATGATGCTTTACTGAAGGAAAATGAAAGTAAGAATTGAATTTTCTTGGCTATTTTACAAAATTGGAAAAGATTGGGGTTCTTTGTTGAGAGGTACGTTATTTGATCTACTTCTCAACTTCTACTGTTTATCTCAGCTCTGTTTCTTATAGTGAGGAATCTAAAGCATTGCTTGATAACTCTTCCAGTAGTGCATTTTATACAATAATATTGGGAAGTGTTGGGAAGGAGAGCACTTACATTTGAATGCACCTCATACCTCTTAATTCTTGGGGTTTAGATTGGGGGCCGCTGGTTTCAGGGAAAGCCTTCATGGTTGTAACACAGGCAACAGCTTTAGTTTTACATTCCTAATGATCATAAGAATTCAACCAGGGGAAATATAAAAAGGGACTGTTTTACTTTTAAAATAAAACTCACTGCGTCTCAGTGGCCCCATGTTCCATTATGGACTTTGACTCATAATGTCCTCGTACTTTGTTCATAATTTACCTCCCCTGTTTTCTAGGTCCTGATGTTCGGCGAGACAAACCTGTAACAGGGGACCAAATAGAGGTCTTTGCCAACAAACTGGGTGAACAGTGGAAGGTCCTGGCTCCTTACTTGGAAATGAAGGACTCGGAAATTAGACAGATCGAGTGCGACAGCGAAGACATGAAGATGAGAGCCAGGCAGCTGCTCGTGGCCTGGCAAGACCAAGAGGGGGCGCACGCCACGCCCGAGAACCTGATCAACGCGCTCAACAAGTCTGGGCTAAGTGACCTTGCAGAAAGTCTAACTAATGACAATGAGACAAACAGTTAGCTTCGTTCTTTATTATTATTATTATTAAAACTGTGATAAGGTTTTGTTACCAAGCAGCATTTGATAAGAGGTCCACTGGTTTTGGTAAACAATAAACATTTTTATAACAGTTGTACAGTTGGCTGGTGCTCCACGAACAACAATATATGTTGGCTCTTGACTGACCTCTGGGTTTAGGGGGAGAAGTTGGGGAAATGGGCAGAATAAAGTGACCTCAAGGTCACATAGTATTTTTGTTAATTTTATATGTGTAAGTCAGTTAGCAATGTTCAGGGGCATGGTGTTTCCTGCATGCCCTGAAGTTACAGAATTTAACTTGCCGAGAATCCCGCAGTAATACTTTCTGAATCCGCATGACTGCTCTAGTCCCACATATGCTTTAAAGCAGAGGATCAGCAAACAGTGGTCCGTCTGCCACCTCTTTCTATAAGTAAAGTGTTTACGTACGGCCACACTGATCTTACTTAAGTCCTGCCTACCTCTGGGCTCCTTTCGTGCTACAAAGGTACACGGTTGCAACAAAGACTTACGGCCTACAAAGTTTAAAATGTATGAAAATATCTGGCCCAGTACAGAAAGATGTGCCAACCCCAACCTTAAAAGAAACGGGGTGAAGTATAAAACCTAATTCTCTTAGCCTTACAGAACTTATGTCTCCAGTCACTTAAAACAGGGCTGCACGCCTCAGGGGTTGCTGTGAAGGTCCAGCGAGACGTGTGTGACGGCACCTACGCACAGCAAGCACTGCAGTGACAGCTGGGCCGGACCGTCTGCCCCCCCTTCCCACATCAGCTCACCCTTCAGGGCTCGAAGGTTAGGTCGTCACTGTTCTCAATGCTGAGGGAGGTCTGAGCGCCTGCTGCCAGTCCAGCAGTGCTCCAGCACAGCTCTGGTATCAAAAGGGCCTCGGGGCAGGGGGCACAGTCTGTAAGGCACGCTCAGGAATCACGGTTTTTTTTCCTTATTCTCCTTTTCAAAGATCTTATACCCAAGGCTGAATTCTAAGATAGTCTTTAACAGTTTAAAAGACACTAGTAGAAGTCCAGTTTCTTACACTTCAAGAAATCTTTGGAATAATGCTTTTTTGGATTAAATAAAATGAAGTCAAGTTTTTTGTAATGACAGTTAAGAGATTACAATTTAAAATGCTAATCCCACAAAGGCTCCTATAGTTTCTTCTAATCCAACCTGACCTAGTAGCTACAGCATCCTCCAAATCATAAAATCTGAATCCTAATTGCTATATTTTTGTCCTCAGAGTTGTTCAGAACAAAATAAGACAGTGAATAAAAAAGTTCACGATTCACAAGCATCATACTAATATATCAAAGAATCTCGTCCTCCCTTCCCTCTTCTGCACGCTCTCCAAGGCAAGAGGACTGACTGCCAGTATTAAAGCTTAGCCTAAGAAGCTATTTACAGGTAAGTTTCCCTGAAACGCTTATTTTATCCTCTAAGTATTCTTAGATTACATTGTTCCAACTTGAGAGGAAAATGGCCATTTTTTTGTCACTGCTGTGCTCTGTAGAGCCTTTTAAAACAGCATAAGCAAGGATAGAGATTTCATTATAATCCCTACAACTTTATTATAAATATCTAACTCAAAGAAAATAAGATAGTTAGCTGATATCCTATCCTTTCACTCACAATAAAACAAAAATGAATTGATCAGACTGTATTAAAATCTACCATATATTGCAGTATCTCACACTCTTGATATTTCTACTAAAAATCACTGGTATTAAATTTTGAGATAGACATGAAGAAGTTGGGAGTTGACAGAGTAGAAACAAACACCCAACTGAGTCAAGGAACAGATGTAATAAACATAGTTGCATTCATTATCCAAAGAACTTCGTTACTTTTACAACTTTATGTTTCTCTTTAAACAGTATTAGGCTAGCAGGTGAAGAAGGTAGTATTTTCAAATAGATGCTTAGGAGCATAATAAACCATCTGCAGAAACTAATAGTATTAAACATATCTGAACTTCAGCCAAGCTCCAACAGACAAAAGACTTGAGGTCAAAAGCTATTAGTCCCTCTTTTTTTTTTTTTTTTTTTATTAAATATCCTCATTTTCTAAAAATAAGCAACTGGAGCTTGTCGACATTTTAAGGTTCATTACTACAAAACCATAGCAAAGTTCAATGTACAAACCATAGTACATCAGAGACACAGTAACAAATGTATAATCAAATGTACTATTATTTGATCACAATTTATTTTAAAGTCATGAAAAGCCAGCAACAGTCAGGCTGGACAAATACTTGATTGTACCCATGTTTCCATGGGGGTGGGGACGCAGCACTGAGTTACACAATGAGATCAAACTTACTTCCTTTCCACCTTCCTGGCAACATTTGTGTTAGATAAGGCAAAGGATGGGCAGCTACTGAATCACTGGTGGTTTGAACCATGCAAGAACAACAAATAATAGAGTAATCGGTGTGCAATAAACATCTGATTGCTGAATCTTGGGCTGAAAAAGACAGGGAGAAAAATTATCACAGAAGGTAATAATGGTTGAAAGGCATTTCAACTCATAATTTTAAAAAATCAATCCAAGCAATAAGCCTTTTAAAAAGTTCTTCCTGCCACCTTTACACAGGGCAGCACAGTCCAAAGGCAATTTTTCTTTTCTGTTCTCTTCTGTAATTTCTTAGGTCAGTAACACAGAGTGGTTTGCTTCTGCCCTCTCTTGTTCCACATGAGGGGAAACACATAAAACCACCTAAACATCTTCCTCCAAAGCTCTGGGTTATAGAAATGATCAACAAATAACATTTATTTCACACCTAAGCATAAATAGCTAAAATGAAGATTACTGTTCACTTTCCTCTTCCATGATTTCCACTCTGCGAGGCCCATAGAGGAGGACATAAGCTATGTGCCAGTCGCCACCGCCAGAGAGTCGTAGGATGTCCTCTGGTGTCACGATGCTGACCTTATCGTCATCGAACTTGATCCACTCATCTAAAGTGTGAGACAGAAACACAAAATTTATCTCATTGACGATTTTTTCAGAGTTCCATTGCAAAAAAAGTACTGAGTAGTTTTAGGCACAGTAGTATTCCATCTGCCATACCAACAGTTCTCCAAGTGTGGTCCAGAGACTACTCACATTCAAGATCTTTTCCGGGTTTCCATGAAGGTTACAATTATTTTCATAACACTTCTAAAGCATCGCCTCCCCACCCCCACCATTCTCTGAAGACTACTTTGGAATTCTCCAGAGGTTACACAGTGTGATAAAGCAGTAGAAGACAGAATGCAGAAGCCGGAGAATCCAGCTGTCTCCTATTCAGCCTAACAAACTTAGAAAAATGTAAATCGACGTCATTAAATATTTTTCTGTTTTGGAAAAGACTGTTATTTTTAAAATGTTATTTGGACTTCCCTGGTGGTCCAGTAGTTAAGAATCTGCCTGCCAACGCAGGGGACATGGGTTTGACCCCTAGTTAGGGAAGACCCCACATGCTGTGGGACAGCAATGCCCATGTGCGCTACAGCCTGTTTGAAGCCACCATAATGAGAAGCCCGCCTGAAGAGCAACACACACCCAGCGCAGTGAAAAATATGTATTTTTTAAACAACTAGGCTGTAAAAATTATTTATGTTAACATGTAATGACTTCATTAATGTCAGTCTAAAATGAATTTCTCAGTTTTCTATTTTAGTAAATATTAAAAGAGATACAATTCTCAAACAAAAGTTCTTCGGCATCCTCAATAATTTAAGAATGTAAAAGAGGTTCTGAGATCAAAAAGTTTTCAGAATAAATGTGTTAAAAAATTTAAACTTGTCAAAACAGTATGCAACAATTGGGGAAAAAAACCAATCTTTACCTTGTTTCCTTTTCACCCATGATACATAATGGCCTGAAGAGCTAGACCTTCCCTGATGTGTTAGCACTGCTTGTAAATCATAGTATCCGCAATTATTGGAGCCAATGTCTAAAGAAAGACATAAATCCAGTAATATTAGATATAAACATATGTGCTTTCTCAAGTTAAGTAACAAGGAAGAACAACTTAAGTTTATCCTACAGAATACTACCCTATTATTAAAATCCAGTTAAGATTATGGTCCACTTAAAGCTTCATGAAAGATAAGTATGCTATCATTTATAGAACATATATTCACTGAAAAGTGATTTTTTTACTGCTTCATGAAAGATAAGTATGCTATCATTTATAGAACATATATTCACTGAAAAGTGATTTTTTTACTATCTCATACTAAGGTAAATTAATACTTTAAGAAACACAACTTTTTTTAAGCTTGGTATCTGAAAAACATTATGTGGAAAGATAGTATAATTTTTTTTTAAAAAGCCTACACAGTAAAACTCAGTTGAAATGAAGATTTCACTTACCATCAGCAAAAGAAAAGGGTTCATACTTAACTTCTTTTTGAGGACTACTGTTTTTGTCACCCTGAGGGGAAAAAAATTTTTTTAATTTCATGGTACTGGAAATTTATACTCTTATGAGTATATATCTCCACAAATATAATACAAATCACCAAGGCAAAACAAAGGAAAAGTATGATCTCCCTTGCACATTGCTTAAAATGACAGAACTACAGATAATATTTTGGCCACCTGATCTGAAGAGCCAACCCATTAGAAGACACTCATGCTGGGAAAGACTAAAGGCAGAAGGAGAAGGGGACGACAGAGGATGAGGTATTTGCACTGCATCACAGACTCAATGGACGGGTTTGAGCAAGCTCTGGAAGATGGTGAAGGACAGGAAAGCCTGGCATGCTGCAGTCCACGGGGTTGCAAAGAGTTGGACACGACAGCAACAACAATTATTAACATAAACCTGTGAGTCCCAAAGTCCTACTGTGTACTAACATACAATCTCATATGTACAGCAGCAGATCCTGATTACAGGACCAACTTCAAACCACTAAACGTAACCAGTGAATACAGAGTCCAGATAAACACTGTTCTAGGGTAGAAAAAAAAGAAAGTCAATTCTGCCACTTTCCACACACTACCAAACCAAGTAGGTGAGGATAAAAAGCTTCCTCACAAAAACAGAATTACAGCAACTTATATTAACTCTATTAAGCCATGGCCACCTGCCACTTCAGTCCAAATGAACTTAATTCAGCAAGTATTTACATAAATTAAAAAGATTCACAACTTTAGACAAGAATCTCTGGTGGGAACTCCCTTGCCTCAACCCATTCCTGTGTGTAATACAAATTCAAACAATTTATTTAGGCATATGGACACAGTTCTTAAAAACTATAATGATAATGAAGACAATGGCAGCAGTTTAAGTGACAGCTAAAATGACAAGAAGCCAAAGCATCTTACAACAAAAAGGCAATTAGGTCAACCACTCCTCTATAAAATTATAACACCTAGAGGAACTACAAAAAAAGCTACACAAGGAAATACATTAGAAAAACATTATATGTAAGCCAAATTAGAATTCTAAAAAATGTTCACATAACCGACAAGTACGGAAAAAAGAGAAACAAAAAACAGCAAAATATAGAAGAGGTTTAATCACTAGTATATCAATAATTATGTTACATGTAAATAGCCTAAACATTAACAGAGAGGACTAAAAATATGACCCAACTATATGCTATCTATAAGAAACTACCTTCAAATATAATACGGGCAAATTTAAAGTAAAAGAATGGAAAAAGATGTATCATGCAAATACTAACAGAAAGGAGAAATGGAAAAATTAACATCAAACAAAGTAGACTTGAAAACAAAGAATTACCACGAACAGAGAGGGACACTACATAATAAAAGAATCACTCCACCAAGAAGACAACCATCCTGTGTACACACCAATAACAGAGTCACAAAACATGAAAAGCCAAAGCTAACAGAACTGAATGGTGAAACATACAAATCCACAGTTTTACTTGAAGACTTCACCACTCCTCTCTCAACAACTGATGAACAACTAGACAAAAACAGCAAGGTTACAGGAAAAGCCAACACCACCATCAACCTACTGGATCTAATCAACATCACAAAATACTTGCCTTAACAACAGTAAAATACATGTTCTTTTCAAGCGCCCAGGGAATAGATACCAAGACAGATCACATTCCGAGCCACAAAGCAAAGCCCAACGAATTGAAAGGAACTTAAATCACCCACATGTGTTTTCTCACAATGGACTCAAACCAGAGTCAGGAACAAAAAGGTGACAGGAAATTTTCCAAACACATGTAAACTAAACAAGACACTTCTAAATGACCCAAGGTCAAAGGGAAGTCTCAAGGGAAATTTATTAAAAATACAAGAAACATAATGAAAACAGAAATGCAATAGAACAATTTGCAGAACACAATTTGAAGGCACTGCCAGGAGGGAAATTTACACCACTAATATTTGAAAACAGGAAGTCTGAAATAAAAAACCCAAGTTCCCACAACTTAAGGACCTAGTAAAAGAGGAGGAAAATAAAGCCAAAACAAGCAGAAGAAAGGAAATAATAAAAGTGGAAATCAATCAAATTAGATGCAGAAAAACAGAAGAAAAAAAAAATGAAACATGCTAGTTCTTTAAGAACAAAAAAGTGACAATCCTCTAGCACCACTGACAAAAGAAAAAAAAGACACAAACTACCAATATCAGGAATATAAGAGGATACCACTACACACTGTGCAAACACCTGAATAACAGGAAAACAAAATGTAAAACTGACAAGCTAGATGAAATGGAACAATTCCACAAACCCAATATGATAAATTATTTCTATAGCCCGTAACTAAAGTTTTAAAATTAAATTTTTTAAATTAAACTCCTGAAAAAGAACTCTCCAGGCTAAGATTATCAGACCAAGACAATTCTACCAAACGTTTTAAGAGACATCAATTCTATACACAATCTCTCAAAAAAAAAGAGGAAAAAAAGCTAATAAACTGCTTCAACAAAGTAGAGGACAAAGATCAATATATTAAAAAAATCAATTGTAATGAATGCAAAAGTGAAATTGGAAAAAGTATGCCATTTAAAAAGACATCAAAAATAATAAAATAGCTACAAATAAATTTAAAGTACAAAAAATGTAAACTGAAAATTATTAGACTGTTGAAAAACTTAAATGACTTACAAAAATCAAAAGACATAGTAAATTCATGGATTCTAAAGCTTAATACTATTAAAATGGAAATACTCCCCAAATTGATCTACAGATTGAATGCAATCTCCATCAAAATTCCAGTTGTTTTTCAAGAAATGGACAAGCTCATCCTAAAATAAATATGGAAATAAAAGGGACTCAGAAAAGTCAAAACAATCTTGAAGAACAAAGCTGGAAGTTTCGTACTTTGCTATAATCCTTAATACAAAACCACAGTAATGAAGACTGTAGTCCCGGGCTTCCCTGGTGGCTCAGTGGTAAAGAATTCGCCTGGCAGTGCAGGGCACACGGGTTCGACCTCTGGTCAGGGAAGAGCCCACATGACGCTAAGCAACTAGGTCCATTCAATGTAACCACCAAGCCCATGTGCTCTGCAAGAGAAGCCTGTGCACCACAACTGGAGCGTAGCTCCCACCTGACACAGCTAAAGCAAAGTCCAGGGAGCGACAAACACTCAGCACAGGCAAAAATAAATAAAATCATTAAAAAAAAAAAAAAAAAAAGACTGCAGTATTGGCCCAAGGACAGACATACCAACAGAAAAAACTGAGGGTCCAGAAATACACTCATATCTAGAGTCAACTGATTCACTACAAGGGTGCAAAGACCATTCAATGGGAAGAGAATAGTCTTTTCAACAAGAAGTGCTGGGACAACTGAATATTCACAGGCAACAGGATTTGGACCTGTACCTCATCTCACATACAAAAATTAACCCAGAATGAATCAAAAAAGCCTAACCGGAGGAACTATAAAAACCTTAGAAGAAAACATATGCATAAACTTTCATGGCCTGTGACTAGGTAATGGTTTCTTAGATATAACACTAAAAGCAAGAGTAACTGAAGAAAAAAACAGATTAAATTATAACAAAATTTTTAAAAATTTCCTCTTCAAAAGACCCTGTTAATAGGATGAAAAGACGAAGCTACAGGCGGGGAGAAAATATTTAGAAACCATGTATCTGACACAGGATTAGTATTAGACTATAAAAACTCCCAAAATTCAAAAGAGTAAAAGACCAAATGGCAAATGGGTAGAAAAACAAGGGGCTTTCCTAGTGGCTCAGATTGTAAAGAATCTGCCTGCAATTCAGGAGACACTGGGTTCAATCCCTGGGTCAGAAGATCCCCTGGAGAAGGGACTGGCAACCCACTCCAGTATTCCTGCCTGGAGAATTCCATGGACAGAGGAGCCTGGTGGGCTACAGTTCATGGGGTCACAAAGAGGTGGACACAACTGAGCAAGTAACACACACAGAAAATATGAAGAGATATTTCATCAAAGAGGGCACACAGATGGCAAAGAAACACACAAAGACGTGCCCAACACCATTACCCTTCAGGCCACATCAAGTATCACTGCAAACCTACACAAATGGCTAAAATAATAGTGACACTACCAAATTCTGGCAAGAATTCAAAGAAAACAGACTGGCAAGACATTGCTGATAAGAATGAAGGGGGAAGCGGGAAAGTGGACTTGGCTACAAAGGGGCAGCGAGAGGTATCTTTGTGATAAGAAAAATGTCCTACATCTAGACCATATCAATGTCAATATCCTGGTTATGACATTATATTATAGTTTTGCAAGCTGTTACCACTAGGAGAAACGAGAAACTCTATTATTTCTTACAACTGCATGTGATTCTCCAATTATCTCAAGTTTAATTTTAAAGATTGCTTTTAATACACACACAAAACCTGCAGAGGAATTTAATTTTAAAATTTTGGTATGTAATATCACACTGGAAATATTCCTAGTTACCAGAAAATATCTTTTTCCTTTTCAAGAAAACATGAACTGTGCCTTCTCTGAATTTAAAATATACAATTTATTAAATATAAAGTTGCTAAGGTTATAATTTTAAGAGTTACAGGTACTTATTAAAAGATACAACTTTAGTTGTCACAGTGGGCATGAAGCAATATTCTGTAACACCAATCCATTTTAAGAAATGGAGATAACGTCATGTCTTACAAGGAAAATAATACACTAAATTTTATAAGGCAGGATGTTATGTGAAGTGCTTTGAGGAAATAAATTTTAAAAGAATATAAGCTGCAGATTTTAGGGGAAAAGGAAGTATGTTCATTCTATCATAAAGGACCCATTCAGCATAGCTAGAGTCCTCTTCCTTATGCTAAAATATATCTAAAATTTTAAGGGCTTCACCAATACATGTAGGATTTGTATATATGCCAAATATAGAGTCACCCATTATTACTAACAGATGAACAATATAAAGCGAATACTGAACACAGTGAAGATAAACATGTTAAGGTTAGAAAATGAACAATAAGAACCTACTGTCTTTGGCTGCTGATTTACTTTTTTATCCTCTAGATCCTTGAATTTTGATCGAAAAGAGACCATTTTCTCTTGAAGTTCTGGTGTACATAGTTCATATACATCCAACATAAGAGGAAATTTCACATCCTATTTACAAGCCAAAAATAAAAAGTGCAAACAATTTAAAAGGTAGTTACTTAAAATATTTATCACACTTTTACATTACTACTTTCATATTCAAATAAAGCTGAAAATAAGACCTGTAAAATTCACGTGGAGACCCATGCAGTTGGAAATATAGTGCTTATTTTCAATCTGGCCCTAATTTTAAGACAAAAATTCTTTTCAACTTTTCCATAAACATTTTAACCCATCAAACAGAGTACAGAGGAGCTACCGAAATTTTAAACAACAAATGAAGCATTTCAGAAATACTAAACAAGCAGATTACTTCAACTACATTTAACCTGCTTGTACAACCCTAAGTCTATCTGAAAATGTATTAATGAAATTCAGCTCAAGACGTTAGAATTATATACCCCTTCCCAAAGGATCAGAGACTCTTATGGATACACTGCAGAGCTACAGTTCAATGAAACGGACAAATCCTAAGGCTGGCTCTGACATCAAATGATTATTCTTTGGTCACCAGTAATTTGACTTTCCTTTCACCTGGAAGAAAGGAATCACATAGAATACAGTGTGTTATATTGCCGCTTAGCCCACTCCCATCCCCAAACCTACTGGACCGGTATCTCTGCAACTGAGGATCTGGTCTAGTGGTACTACTGGGGAAAGAAGGGCATCCATCAGAATTACCTGGGACTCTTGAAAAATATACGACCCGAGGCCCCACTTAATCAGATGCTTGGATAGGGCTGAGGGGCAGGCATGCGTATGTTAAAAAAAAAGGGAAAATAGACAATTCCAATATATATTCTTGATTAATAACCACTTGTCTAATGTTAATAATCCTCTATTTATAGTATTTTGAAGTGAGTTCTAAAAGAATAAATCTATTGTAAATAAGGAATTACCTTTAAAAATAAAAATTATTACAGGAAATTCATTACTAACCTTAAGAACTTTAGCATTCACAGATTCCTTCTCTTTGTAAAAAAATCGAACCATCTGAATAGTTAAGTAAGCAGGTAACCGGCTGATCTTGGACTGAGGAGAGAAAATGGAAAGAAATTCTGTAACATGCAAACACCACCAAGTTTCTAATTCCTCGGTTTGGTAAAAACAAAGTCTGGGTAACATTAATTAACCGGCAACCTTTCGACTCAATAGAACTGGATTCCAAAACTTACCGATTTGATGTACAAAGCATTTCTTTGCAATGTTGGAGACTGTTTGGTGATTTCTTCCTGAAGTCGCTAAAAAAGAACAGACCAAACATTAAAAAAAAGTCTTCTGTAATAGAGAATTATATCTTTAATTCTTTTAAAAATTAGGACTATTTAATAGATAACATATAGTATGTCAACAGATTTATACCCCTGAGAAATACTCTGAATGACGACAAAGTGAGAAGGCTTTTAGATATGGTTTAGTTCTTAAAAGGCATCAAAATAATTTGTCTTCACTTGCATGAACTCTTCAGAATGTAGATCATTTGAGTCTTTTAATTTATTACCCAAATGCCCAGATTCTGAGAGTTTATACTGTGTTTTATACAACATAAGAAAACCTTTCATGGTATTCCTCTACTTACGGATCATCAAAATATTAGAGCAAAAAGGAAAAGAATGTAAATAACTCTTGTTCTTTATGTTTTATGTAGCTAAGCCTTCCAGAACCAATCAATTACTGTTAAATTTGAGAAAAGTCACAACACAGAAAACCTGTAATCTAACAGATGTGGGAAAGCCTTTAGCCGTTGCATCCTCTAACCAGTGTCTGCCTTTCCGTCCTTACTGCCTGTGTGACCCTGAGCAACGCAGTTCTCCCTCTGGGCATCATCTGTAATGGTAGTGACAGCACTTCGTCGCAGTGCTGGTGTCAGAATTATATGAGTTAATACATGAAGAAAACTTGGAGAACTATTTGGTACACAGCCTATGTTTAGTAAGCATGCTGGGGGCTTCCCAGGTGGCGGCAGTGGTAAAGAATCCGCCTGCCAATGCAGAGACACCAGAGACTCACGTTTGATCCCTGGGTCAGGAAGATCCCCTGGAGCAGGAACTGGCAACCCACTGCCATATGCCTGCCTGGAAAATCCCATGGACAGAGAAGCCTTGCAGGCTACAGTCCATATGGTTGCAAAGAGTCAGACACAACTGAGTGACTAAGCAGCAGCAGCAGCAGCAGCAATAATCATCTTATACTTGCATAAAAATTGTTCCAGTTTTGATTTAAAAAAATTACTAGCCACATTACAAAAGGAATTACTATGGAGTAGGTTTTTAACATTTAACCAAGTTTATTCAGCAAAAGGTAAAGAAATGTGGAGCAAAATTACTCAAGGATAAAACCAATGATGACAAAGCATCTAAAAATACCAAGACAATTAATGTTAACATCTCATGAAAACATGAAAGCATATCTGGTACTTTTTAAAATTTTTAACATGTGCTCGGTTATGTCCAACTCTTTGCATCCCCATGTACTAGAGGTTACTGATCAGGTTAACTATATATTACTGTCATCAATCCATCATCATCAAGATGTTCCAGGTATACTTAGCTTTCATTGAATTTTATAAAATTATTAAGAAAATATCCTGAAAAGTCCTTGTCAAAACATTCTATCCCACACACTCCAATTAACATTTTGATGCCATGAAACTTGCCCCAATTCACTGCCTATCCTTCAAAAGATGTACATATTTAGGAATACTGAGGAATTCCCTGGTGGTCCAGTGGTTAGGACTCTGAGCTTTCATTGTCAAGCGGGCATGGGTTCAATTCCTAGTGGGAGAACTAAGATCCCATAAGCCGCACGGTGCAGCCAAAGTTAAAAAAACATTAAGAGAGATGTACATATTCCCCCAAACTGTCAAATAAATGACAGGCAAGCAAAATTGTTCTACTTTATCAATGTGCCCACTAGAGGGTATGGCATTGAGACAGAACTAACTGAATAGTGAGAGAAGCAAGTTTTAGATCCGTCTTTGCCACAAACCAATAAAAAATCCTACAAAAAGAACTTCAATTCTAGGGCCTCGACTGCAATCCTAGTGCAATGGCAGCCTGTCTACAGGCCCTCATCTGCACGGGCCAACCCCAGTGTCTATCTCGCCAGTATTAATATATCCTCACTGCAATGCCCCCAGAGGCCTCCTTCAAGCCTCTGGTCATAACATTTTTGTCAACCCATCAATATACAACCTTATTTTATGAGTCTTTCTGCTGTGTAATGACACCTTGACACACACTGCTGACACAGTAACACTGAACTCACAGCCAAGTACACTAACTCAACCCTGAATGAAGCTGCTCTAACCAACGTTATTCGCTCCTTAAGGCACATCACCACCTTCCTGCGCTTAGAACACCAGACAGCACTTCAGCAGCATGCCAGAAGGCCACTATCCACAGCAAGATCGCCTACAAAAAGCACAAAAATTCAGGAAACGTGGCACCGAAATCACTGCAAGAAGCATACTAGTTTCCACTCAAACATCTCAGAATTTTTGCCACCTTGCGTATGTCTACAGGTGATCATGAAAGAACCATGAGTATTGATGTTGGGGTTACAAATCAAAGTTAGCAAGTAGGTATATTTGTAAATAAAAGAATCCACAAACCATGTGGATAAACTGTAATCGTCCTTACCAACTTAAGTCCTGTAAAAAGATACTTGACTTCTTGATTGATGAAACAGCTAAGCTGAAGCTGACTTTCCTTTCCTTTAGTGACTTCTTCTTCTTCAGATTCTGTACATTTCATGCTGTGCAAAGTAAGTTAAGGAATATGCCAACAGCCATTCAACTTGCTATATAATCTCTAACAAAATAACTTATCCCAATGCTTTTAAAAATAACATCATTCAATGGTATTTAAAACATTTCAGTCTCCCAGCAGAGATTCATTTCAATATTTAAAAATGTTCATTCACTTACCAACAATATGAATTAATGAAATGTGTGTAAAAGGATAAACTCTCAGCAAATAACTTGGTATTTATATAGTCTTAAAATGGTCTTAATAACTCAAAGATAAATTTACCCATGATCTAGAAAATGCTGCTCTCCTTATTAATTGCTTCCATTTCATGTATATAGTTTTGCTGATTTATCCCATTTCATACAATTAAAAATTAATTCTCTATGAGGTGAATTAATGAGCCATTCTGTTAAAGATATTCTTAGGAAAAAATAATGAATGTCCTTAAAGAGTCCATTTATCTAAACTTCAAGATCACTCCAATGGGTATTTTTTTCAAATTCCTAATTTCCATATTTTTTAACCATAAAAACCTCTAAAGAATTTTCCTTCATATCCCATCCACCACTCCAATCAACAATACTATTTATACCAATTCATATTCAGTAAGTTATGATTAGTCTATATGAATCTTGGCTCATAAGGATACGTTGTCTCAAATTCAACTCCAAAGAACTGATCAATTAAACTTTTCTTTTTAGAAGGTGTCACTGCTGATGCAGATGAAGAATCTGTCTGCAAAAATTTAGATGAAATAAAAATTCCAATTTTACTTCACATGGATATTAATGTACATCACCTCCCACACAATCCAGTTTAGTAATGCATATTTTTTTAATGTAATCCCTGTCTGCAAAACCTTTCTACTGATAAAAAAATATTACCAAAAAACTACAGATGCTCAGTAAGCTCAATGGATTAAATTTAGTAAATAATACATTGAATTCAAGCGTCAAATGCAAGCTGTCAAATTCCAACTACAGATTCAGTATCTCAAGTATTCAAGGACATGTCTATCTATTAAAATGAACTTATTTCAAGACTTTTAGGGTGGGATGGGATGGAAAAATCAAAGCCTACATTCACAAATATATTTCAATTACCTCTTTAACAGTATCATCTTCTATAGCTTCCAATTTCTGCTGTAATACTCGCATCATTTGTACCCAACACTCATTAGCATCCTGTAATTTAAAAAGTGACACAGTAAGTAATCCTGGTGGATACAGTGTTTGATTTACAAAATACTTTTAAAATAATTAGTTTCCTTAGGGAAGGGGAAGAAAGTTGTTTTGTTTTAAATATTAAGCCAAATTAAATATTTTATGACCTTCAAAACAATGAAGCGTTACAGAATAGTTTGTCTGTTCATTCAAGAAATGTTTAATGAACTCATTATGCTAAACACCATCCTAGATACAAGGACTACATAGCAGTCAACAAAGTAGAAAAAAGTCCTAGTGGGGAACATAAATAAACAAAATAGAACAAATTCAAGTAAAGAGGGCTAGGAAGAAATAAAAAGCAATATGGGAGTAGGAAGTGATTAAGGGAAGAGGAGTGTGCTATTCAGTAGGACTGTCAAGGAAAGCCTCTCTGATGCCTTGACATTTGAGCCATGAGACCTGAAGTGAGCCATGAGGTAAGGAGGCAAGGCACATCCCTATCTGACGGCCAAAGGAAAAACAGCAAAGGCTCTACAGAAAGAGGATACTTGGAGAGTTCTTTTTTTAAATAACAAGGAAGCCAGTGTATCTGGAGAGAACTGCAAGGGGAACAGTGGTACATGACGAGCTCAGAGAGGCAGGCAGGCAGTTGACTGTTTAGAACCGAAACAGAAAACAGGGGAACCAACATAACCTTACATTCTTTAAAGGACTCTGAGGGCTGTGTAGAGAAGCACCACAGACGGTAGAAGCAAGATGGTCAGTTATCGGACTATTGCACCTCTCCAGGGAAGAGATAATGGTGGCATTAACTAGAGGGGACTGGCATTTGTATTTCCAAATAGAGCTCAGTAAGTACCTAAGTTTTACATATACAAAATGAAAACCACAGAACCTTGCCCTGATTACCTGCTGAAGATACTGTCCTTGTTCGCCCTTCTCTGCAAACTGTGGAAAAGCCATGTGCAAAAACTGCAGTAAAATAATCGGTGGAATACTAGAAGAAGTTTTATCCATGGAATCAAATAAATCTCTAAGGGCTTAAAAACAAAGCAAATACCTGCTTAGTAAAATAATGATATATATAATACAAGCTACTGTAAATTCTCAATTAATACAAATAAAGAACTGCTTATTAATTATTTTTAAGTACATCTATTCCTTTTGCAATTGCTGGATCCCTAATAAGAAAAAATTTTGTTTTTAAATCTTAAAGAACTCATTAGAAGACTTCATAATGCAATAAGTAGCTATAAACAACTTCTGGGTGGTGCTCTAAGTCTCTCTATCCTTGATAGTCTTTGCCTTCCTAACAAAACAGTGTATATTCATTCAATACAGAGAACACACAACTTCTGCCCAGGAATCAAACAGGCGTAACTGCTACAAATGAGCAGTTATCAGGACATCAGGTAACCACTCCCAAAGCTCCTCCCTTTCAGTCTATACTTAGTTGTCTTGTACTGAACTCCCAAATACTGAAATCTGGAATATGTTTAAATCCTTAAACATACTTCCTGAACACTTTTAAAACTAAGTTGCCTTCTTTGATTTCAAAGGCAAGTATTCAGTAAATGCTTTTGGTAGAATATATAGATACTGACCTGCAGTAATATACTGTGCTGACGCCATTTCTCCTGAAGCTCTCAAGGCGCCTGCATACCTATGAACAGTAGGACAGAATTAGATTCTGAAACTCAAAGACGGGAAGAAACAAGTTCAAAAGACTCATTATGACACTGACACCCTCAACGGTAAGTTTCCCTGAGCTGTCCCCACCATTTTTACTTCTCTTCCAGTCTTGGTTCCTTTAAGAATTATATGGTCAAAAAGGACTGCTAAGAAAAAGCAGAATTTAGGTAAATGAAGCCTACTTTACATTCTTTCCCCTGCCTTATCTATAATATTTTCCACAAACTGTGCATTAAAAAAAGTACATTGTCCATTATTACAAAGAAAACAAAATATAATTTCAGAAATGAAGAAAAAAGCTTTAGATCAAAAACATTCAATGGAAATCAATAAGCCCATATTCAGCACTAACTTCTTATAAACACAAAATAAATTTCAAGTCCTTTTCCTCACTTATAAAATGAGACGTGTGTGTGTGCGCGCGCAGGCACACGTGCTGACTCTGTGACCTCACAGACTGTAGTCTGTCAGGCTCCTCTATTCGAGGAGTTTCTGATTTCTGAATTCATTTTTATGAATCTCAGTTAATTTTATAGCAGTACAAACGACTGGTCACCCAAGGAAATATTCAAACCACTATATCTACTTAAACAAATATTTTATGACAAAGGATCAGAAATTATGATTCAAATAATATTAAACACTGGGCAGTGGGGAAGAGCTGAGTAGCTGACCAGGAAAAGGTAGAATACAATACCAACCTGGGATGATAACAATGTTCCATTAATTTGACTGTAAAATGAGTCACAGAGAATTTGAATTTATCAAAACTGCTCACATCCAACACTTAAGATGCATACCTTTCACTAGATATAAATTACAGTTCAATTAAAACAAAAACTCTGTGCTTATATAAGTAAATGAAAGAGGTCACAGAAAATGTTCAGTTATATTCAATTGAAGAGTCTTGTTTTTTTTTCATTTGTTTGTTTAGATCTTTTGGAAACTCCTACAACTAAAATATCCTTAACTGTTTAATATACAATAATCCATGAAAGTGAAAGTGTTAGTTACTCGGTCGTGTCCAACTCTCTGCAACCCCATGAACTGTAGCCCACCAGGTTCCTCTTTCCATGGGATTCGATTCTCCAGGCAAGAATACTGGAGCAGATTGCCATTTCCTTCTCCAGAGGATCTTCCCAACCCAGGGATCAAACTCACACCTCCTGCATTAGCAGGCAGATTCTTTTACTGCTGAGCCACCAGGGAAGGCCCCTAAATTATATACGTTCATTAAAAAAATAAAAATCGTCTAACAGTTTTCCTGTCAGATACTTTAGCAGTTTTAAAGGGCACTTCTGAAGTTAAAATGAAGTACTCATAAAGCACGTGCATCCCATAACATCACTGAACCATGTCATTCCATAATGGGCTGCTGTTATGAACTTACATCTAGCTACAGGGTAATAGGGGCTTCCCTGGTAGCTCATCTGGTAAAGGATCTGCCTGCCAATATAGGAGACTTAAGAGACGTAGGTTCAGTCCCTGGGTTAGGAAGATCCCCTAGAGAAGGAAATGCCAATGTGGTCCGGGATTCTTGCCTGAAAAACCCCACAGACAGAGGAACCTGGTGGGCTACCGTCCGTAAGGTGGCAAAGAGTCAGACACAACTGAGCATGCACACACAGCCATGCACACAGCCATGCGCAGGATGTAACTATTCAACATTTACGACAAGAGCAAAGAGTCAGACACAACTGAGCATGCACACACAACCATACACACAGCCATGCACAGGATGTAACTATTCAACATTTACGACAAGAGAGACATTAATGAGTTATCAATCTTTTTTCAATAACTAGAAACAGAAAGATCATAGGTAATTTAATAACATCTCCCCAAAACTCTCAATATTATGACAAGAAAACATGTAATTCCTAACTAAGGTAAGACTATCCAATCAGCCAAACAACATTCATAATGAACTTTACAAAGAAAAACTGTTAGAGAAGAGGAAGAATGGACATGAGTACTGAGAGGTTTAACAGATAAAAATACTGCGAGTCTTTACAGACAAAAGCACCAATAGAGTACTTTCCCCAATCTTTGTCAAGTCAATAAATAAAAAATGATATAGACAATCTGAATGTAATAAACTTAATGCTCATTATACTTTATCACCTACAAAAAGAGGATGTCTTGACTATATTTCTATCATCTGTGAAATATTCACTACCAATCAATCATAGATCAACTCAAACATTCATCGATAGAACAAAGAATAATTATTTGGTAGTATATGCATACAATGGTGTAGTCTACAGCACGAACAAAAATGAACACACACACAAAACATGGAAAAGTCAAACATAATGAGCCAGACTCAAATGAATATAATACATAATATGTATGTTTCTGTTCATAAGGAGTTCAAAAAAAGCAAAATTACTCTATGAGGTCAAGTGAGTACAACAAAGAAGGGTGGGGTCCGTGGACTAGAAGGGATTGGTGACGGGATTTTCAGAGTGTTAACAGGATTCTGTTGATCCAGGATTGTGTTGGTTACAAGGATGTGTTCATTCTGAGATAATTCATTTGTACATGTTTCTATATAATTCAATTATTAAAAACAAACGGGTTTTGCAGTCAAGAAAACCATAAACAAAATGAAAAGAATGGGAGAAAATATTTGCAAATGACACAATCGACAAGAGATCAATTTCCAAAATATACAAATAGCTCATTGAACAGCAAAAAAAAAGCCAACTCAATCCAAACATGGGCAGAAGACCTATACAGACATTTCTACAAAGACATATAGATGACACATGAAAAGATGCTCAACTTTTCTAATTATTAGAGAGATGCAGATCAAAACTACAATAAGGTACCACCTTACAACAGTCTGACTGGCCATCATTAACAAGTCTACATATAACAAAGGAGATGGTGTAGAGAAAAGGGAACCCTCCTCATCATTGATAAGAATGTAAGTAGGTGCAGCCACTGTGGAAAACTTTATGAAGGTTCCTTAGAAAACTAAAAATAGAGCTACCATATGATTCAGCAATCCCACTCCTGAGCATATATCTGGACAAAACTGTATTCAAAAAGATACATGTACCCCAATGTTTACAGCAGCACTATTCACAACGGCTTAAAGCTTTTAAAAACTTGTTTAATAAACCTCAATATTGTTTAAAAAGACTAGTACAGAGGTAAAGAAATTGGGAGCTCTCTAGCATTGCTGCAGAGAATGTAAAATGGTACTTTGGAAAAGTTTGGCAGTTTCTCAAATGCTTAACAGTTACCATGTGAGCAAGCAATCTACTCACAACCAAGAGAAATGAAAACTCATCTGCACAAAAACTTGTGCTTGAATGCTCACTGCAGCATTATTTATACTAGCTAAAATGTGGAAACAATCTAAATGTCCATCAACTGATGACTGAATAACCAAAACATAGTATAATCAAACAGTGGACTATTATTCAGACATTAAAAGCAATGAAGTACTGACACATGCTGTATGTGCTTAGTCATTCAGTTGTGTCCAACTCTTTGCAACCCCACAGACTATAGCTGGCCAGGCTCTTCTGTCCATGGGGACTCTCCAGGCAAGAATACTGCAGTGGGTTGCCATGCCCTCCTCCAGGGGATCTTCCCAACCTGGGATCAAACCCAGGTCTCCTGCATTGCAGGCAGAGTCTTTACCATCTGAGCCACCAGGGCAGACCTTACATGCTACAATATGGATAAACCTAGAAGACAGGATGCTAAGTAAAAAAAAAACCAGTCACAAAGACCATATAGTGTATGATCCCATTAATATGAAATGTCCAGAATCAGCAAATCTGTAGGACAAAAAGTATACTAATGGTTGCCCAGAGCTGGAGGTGGGAAAGGTCTAAGCAGCAAGTATGAGGGTTTTTTCTGGGCCGGGGCGTACTCTGAAATTACATTGTGGGATACCTGCATACTCTTGTGAATATAATGAAGACCATCTACTTGAACACATCAACAAGGTGAATTTTTGATGGATGAATTATATCACAATTAAGCTGCTAAACAAACATATATCAAAGTGCCAAAGAATACTACTCATCCAAATGTGAACCTTCTTTACCCAAAAAAGACATAAAACAATCTCTCTTCTCTCTTACCTTTTAAGGGCATCTTTGAGTTCAGGCACAGAACGAATACACTGAACTGTAGCATTCATGTAACAAGTATTACCAAGGTTTGTCAATCCACATGGTAATTCCATCTGATAAGGAAAAGAAGTAAATCAACTTTATAAAATGACACTGCATATATAAATCACTAAACACTTTGAAGCAAATATAATTTACCAACTCATACCAATTTATATTCCACCTCAACGTTTTATTTTCCTAACAAAAAAATTTTTACTTGCATCATGCTGACAATCATTTTGTGTTTTAATTCCCTTCTTGAAAATAAAAAAAGAATTTTATCAGTCCTGCCTTCTCTGTAGGTTTATCCCTAGAAGAAGGTAACAAAATATATACAGAAATACTTCAAGGAGACTTCCCATGTGGTCCAGTGGCTAAGACTCAGCACACCCAATGCAGGACGCCCAGGTTCAATTCCTGGTCAGGGACCTAGATCTCACATGCCCCAACAAAGACCAGGCACAGCCAAAATAAATAAACAAATTAAAAAAAAAAAAAGAACACACTTCCAAAAAACAAATGGTACTATATAAATGCTGGGTAATAAAAACAATAATAATATTTGACAGGAATGTGTTGGCCAGTTTCTAAACTAACACTGCATTCTTAAATTAAGGATAAACTGTTATGTATTTTCACCATGGAAGGTTTTGAGAATTTAAATATCCCAGCATTTAAACTATGTAACTTCTTTAAGCTTGTTTTCCCAGAAAATAACAGTAAACACTTTAACAGCACTGTATGCCAGATGCATTTATTACAGATATTAATGACTTTGTAATGAATTGTTCAATTAGAAAAGGATCCTGTGAGCCAATTTCAAAAACAAAACTCTGGTTTACTGCTGATGACATGCATCCTGATGTCGATTAAATCTTTAAAATGTGCAGATGCTACTTTTTCAAAGTCATCTTACTGACTGTACTTCTTAAAAAGTAATAATCAGATATATCAAATGTATGTCTTACAGCAGATGCTAACTGTTCTTCTGTCATGTCTTCTACAAAGACAGTTTTAGCTGAGGGTTCCTCAGGAAGAGCATCTGCTGACCCCATCATTAGTACAGTCATTCCCTGTTTAAAAAAAAAAAAATTTCATGAAAACTCAAAAGCTGACCGTGTTTATCTTCAAGGAAATAAGTCAGACACAGAAAAACACATATCACATGCTTCTGTGTGCCAGCAAAGGTAAATCTAGACAGATTAGTGGTTCCAAGAGCTGAAGATGGGAAAAGAGACTGTCTGGAAATGGGAACGCATTTCTTTCTGGGGTGATGAAAATATTCCAAAATCAGACTGTGGTGAAGGTTACACAACTCTGTAAATACACTAAAAATCATGAAATGCTAGCGTGCTGCTTCAGGCCAAAGGTCACCTGCAGAATGCTGGAACGTCTGTATCCTGACTGTGGGAGTGGTAACTTGACTGTGTAAGGTTAACCAAATCCATGAAACTCTAAAGTAGGTGGATTTTACTCTCTATATACTATACTATACTCTCTATATACTATATTCTATTTATACCTCAATAAAGCTAAGGACAAAAACACTGTCACAAAGAAAGCTGAGAATACTGGAATAGGAGAGACTTCAAACAATCATTCATATTTAGTGGCATCATTTCTCTCCCTAACACACTAAGCAGTGATAATATTCTTCCTATGAAAGTCTATTCTGTAACTGTAACCATTATTTACAACTGAACAGAAAAATCTCCATCGTTGGAAATTATCAAGCCAAATATATAAATTAGTTCAAAATGTCTAATTTTATAATTCGACACATTACTATCCTAAGGAAATACTGATTCAATACAGATGTTAACATTCCACACAATAGAACAAAGAAGACTGTCACCCTAAAACTCATAATCTTGAAATGTGAACATCATATGCAATATCTTAATTGGAAGACATGAACACCTGAGACAAAGAGGGTAGCGAGGTTTAAAAAGAGGGAGAAAAGTCAGAAAAATGTATTTTTTAAGAAAGGCCAATAAGATAAAAATATCTAGATGAGGATTAAATTAGGAAATAAATAAGGTCAACAAACTCAAGCCTTATGAGTACCTATGACAATCATTCTATCACCTATTATTTTTACTTATACTTTTTTTATGATAATAGCAAAGGAGTACTAAGCAATCACTAAAGAATTCTTTTCCAAAGACAACTGTCTCAGGAAAACCAAACATTTAAAGAATATACTCGCAACAGTCAGCTAGAAAATACAATTGAAAAGAGTGAATACCAAATTAAGAGTAAACATAATAAGAAATATATAATATTTTAATAAGAAAACTATAAAGATTTACATAAGGATATTAAAAAACATCTAAATAAGCTGAAGGACACAACAAATTTCTGGACTGGAAAAATTACTATAAAGATGTGATTCCAAATTATCATATAAATTTAATTAAATCCCTCCCTGAGACTTTACAAAATGATTCATTCATGCAATAAACTCATACCCATGAAAACAGCTAAGAAATTTCTGAAAAAGAAAACTAAAACAATATCTTTAAAATTATTAACAGATTACATATGAAGAAATGTTGGAGATAATAATTTAGGAAAATATTCTAGTTCTTCACCTTATGACATGCCATGCCCAAAATGAATTACAAATAAGGACTTAAATGTAAATAAAAAAAAAACAATTATAAAACATCCAAGTTAATTTTTTTAAAATCTTGCCATTTTGGAAGATTTTTCTAGAACTGACATAAAAGATGAAAGGACTAACTATATAAATCTTAACACTTCCCCATTACCACAATCAAAATTTTTACAAACTTAAAAAACTCAAGTGTATGTGGATACAATAGAAAAATGGACAAAGTTGAAAACAAAAAAGGCCTAAAATTAATAAATCAAATAAGCTTCTACCTTAAGAAGCTAGCACAAGTATATATTAAAATCAAAGGAAATAAAGCAAAGAGGGAAAAATCAATTAAAATAATAAATGAACAAGCAGAAGATGACTCTATGAGGAGTAGGAGAAATCAATGAAACTGAACAACTTCTCCCTAGGTGACAGAGACAATGAGCAAGAAATCACAATTTGCCAATACGGAGCAGGGTAGAAGGGGATGTTGAAATGACAGCATTGCAGAGTCTAGAATTAAAGGTTATTAAGAGTATAGTATCAATTCAACAACTGAAACAGACCAATCACCTAAAAAACACAAATTACCAAAACTGGTGTGAAAAAAATGTAACATCTGAAGAGTCCTACATTTATTAAAGACATTAAATTCTTAATTAAACGTCTTCCCACAAACAAAGCTCCAAGCCTTTGGAGAATTTCCTGCAAGTTTCAGAATATGAACTCTTTCAGAAAAGAGGGGAGACGGGACTGCTTCTGACTCATTTTATAAGGCAAACATTACCCTGACAGCAAGACTCAAAGACAGCAAAACTACAGTTTGTAGTTTTCACACAAAGAAACACGAAAATAATTTTAACAAAATACTACCAATAGAATCTGAATTATATTTAAAAGAAAATACATTAAGAGTAGCTAACTATCCAAAAAAGGAAGCATAGTTCACTGCATTAAGAAATTAAAGGATAAAATTAACATTTCAAAATATATGGAAAAAGTATATGACAAACTCAACTCATATCCATGATAACTTTCTACAAACTAGAAACAGAACTTTCCTTAACCTGATAAACATCTATTAAAAAACCTATAAATAATCTGTAAAAAAAAAAAAAAAAAAAAAGGAACCAAAAATCTACAATGGGTAAAACTCAGCAAAGAATATTACCAGGGATAAAGCAGAACAGTTCATTTTGATGAAAGGTCAACTCACAGAGCTGTAACAATCCTATACATGCACACACCTAAAAACAGATACAACAAAACTGATTCAACTGAAGGGAGATACAATCAAATCCACAAGAGCTGGAGACTATGACACATTTAATAAATGACACAGATAAAACATCAGTTAGGATAGAAAGAACATGAAGACTATACACCAACTTGACCTAACCGGCATTTACAGAACATTTTACCCAACAATAGCAGCATACCTGATTTTTTCAAGAGCACAGAAAACATTCAAACGAATGGAGTAAAACAAGTTATCAATAAATTTCAAAGGATGGAAATAATATTGGATATGTTAAGTGACCATGACAGAATCAAATTAGAAATAAATAACACAAACATATTAGAAAAAGCCCCACATAATTGGAAATGAAATACAGTTCTAAACAATCCATGGCTCAAAAAAGAAATCACAAGGAATATTAGAAAATATTTTAACTGTATAATAAAAACACAGCATATCACAACCGCTAACTGTATAATAAAAACACAGCATGTCACAACCGCTAGATTCAGCTACAAGTGCTTAAAGCAAAATTAGTAATAATAGTTTTAAATGTCTATAAGAAGAAAATAGCTATTTTTTAAAAAATCAATAATCTAGGCATACACCTTAAAAAGCAAGAAAATGAAGTAACTTAAACTCCAAAGAGAAAAAAATAAGAGTAAATATCAACAAAATAAAATATGGGTAACATGTAAAATCAGCAGTCAAAAACCTAACAGACTTATGATAAATCCTTACCAACACTGATCAAAATATTTTTATTAATAACAGGAATAAGAAGGAACATTGATAAATAATGATAACTATTTCAGATACGAGGGACAACTTTATGTCAATAAATTCAACATATTTAAAATAAGCAAGTTCCTTGAAACAAAACTCACAAAAACATAAAAAAAAAGAAATCAAAATAGTCTGGTGCCTACTATAGAAACAATATCAAATTCCCATGAAGAAAACCCAAATCCAGATGTAATTTATTGGTAACTTATTTCAAATATTTACAGAAAATAATACCAACCTCACACAAACTCATTCAGAAAACAGAAAGGAAATACTTCCCCAACTCTTTTAAATGAGTGTCCACATAATTCTGATGACAGAGTGAGGATAATGCAAAACATTATGCCTCATCAACACATAAAAATATCTTTGGAAATATGAGAAAACTAAATCCAGCAATAAATAAGAGATAAATACATATGATTCAAGTGTGTCTGTCCCAGTATGCAGTTCTCAAAGTGTTGTCTATGAACCTCCAGAGGTCTCTCAGCTTCTTTCATGGAGCCAGTGAAGTCAAAACTATTTCAATAATACCAAAATGCTATTTCCCTTTTTCAAATGTGGTGATAGTAGGTGAACCCTGAACTTCCAGATGTTCAAGCTGGATTTAGAAAAGGCAGAGGAACCAGAGATCAAATTGCTAACATTTGTTGGATCACAGAAAAAGCAAGAGAGTTCCAGAAAAACATCTACTTCTGCTTTACTGATTACGCCAAAGCCTTGGCTGTGTAGATCACAACAAACTTCGGAAAATTCTTCAAGAGATGGGAATGCCAGACCACCTGACCTGCCTCCTGAGAAATCTGTATGCAGGTCAAGAAACAACAGTTAGAACTGGACATGGAACAACAGACTGGTAGTTGTGAAAGAAGTATGTCAAGGCTGTATATTGTCACCCTGCTTATTTAACTTATATGCAGAGGACATCATGTGAAATGCCGGACTAGATGAAGCACAAGCTGAGATCAAGATTGCCAGGAGAAATATCAATAACCTGAGATACTGAGATGACGCCACCCTTATGGCAGAAAGTGAAGAGGAACTAAAGAGCCTCTTGATGAAAGTGAAAAGAAGAGAGTGAAAAAGCTGGCTTAAAACTCAACATTCAAAAAATGAAGATCATAGCATCCGGTCCCATCACTTCTTGGTAAATAGATGGGGAAACAATGCAAACAGTGACAGACTTTATTTTCTTGGGCTCCAAAATCACTGCAGATGGTGACTGCAGCCATGAAATTAAGAGATGCTCGCTCCTTGGAAGAAAAGCTATGACCAACCTAGACAGCATATTAAAAAGCAGAAATGTTACTTTGCCAACAAAGGGCCGCCTAATCAAAGCTATAGTTTTCCAGTAGTCATGTATGGATGTGAGAGCTGAGTGCCAAAGAACCGATGCTTTTGAACTATGGTGTTGGAGAAGACTCTTGAGAGTCCCTTGGACTGCAAGGAGATCCACCCAGTCCATCCTAAAGGAGATCTGTCCTGGGTGTTCATTGGAAGGACTGATGCTGAAGCTGAAACTCCAATACTTTGGCCACCTGATTTGAAAAACTGACTCATTGGAAAAGACCCTGATGCTGGGAAAGATTGAAGGTGGGGGAGAAGGGACAACAAAGGATGAGATGGTTAGATGGCATCACCGACTCAATGGACAGGAGCCTGAGGAAGCTCCAGGAGTTGGTGATGGTCAGGAAGGCCTGGCGTGCTGCAGTCCATGGGGTCACAAAGAGTCGGACACAACTGAGTGACTGAACTGAACAAAGAACTGAGTTATCAAGCCATGAAAAGACTTGGAAACATAAATGCATATTACTGAAGATGTCAATCTGAAAAGGCTACAGACTGTTTAATTCCAACTATACAACATTCTGAAAAAGGCAAAACTACAGAGACAATAAAAATATCCATAGTTGTCAAGGGTAGAGAGAGATAAACATGTACAGCATAGAAAATGTTTAGGATGGTGAAACAACTTTCTATGACATTATAAATGGTGAATACACATCACTATACATTTGTCCAAACCCACAGAACATACAATACCATGAGTGAACCCTAAAATACCATGGACATTTGATGATAATGATGTATCAATGTAGGTTCACCAATTTAACCAATGTGCTACTCTGTGGGGGATGCTGATAATGGAGAAAGCTATTCACACATGAAGGTATAATAAAAATTACAAAGTACCAATTAAGTTAAAAAAAAACACTTCTGCATACCAAATTTATGATAGCTGTCTTCACAATAAGCTTGCACGAACATCTGTGTTGGAAACCTGACTACTTGCCTTTTTTGACAAAATACAATTTCTACTTAAAACAACTGACAAATTATGGGTTTTTAGACTTGAGTATTTAGTAACATTTCCTTAAAAATGAAGAAAGTGAGCTAGGAGTCTCAGGGCAAAGTACTGACAATATTTACAGCTGCCAATGACAAAATTAGAGCTTTCAAGTGAAAAGAATTTTCCATCTGTCACTATGCACCTGACAATTTTCTAGAATTAAAGACTTTTCTACTGAGGTTGGTAGTGATATTAACAAATGCAATTTTGAAGAATTATATAATGAAATGCATGAGCATTTCATGAAAGTACTTACGCGAAAGATCTAAATAACTCAGAAAAACAATTTTTCCAAATGACCAATATATGATGTTTCAAAGTCATTCATGAGTGTAAGATCCATTCTTCAGTGCAAAACATAGATTTTTAACGTACAAAAGGTCACTGATGTGGTTTCTACAACATTAAGTTCAGTTCAGTCACTCAGTGTCCAACTCCTTGCAGCCCCATGGACTGCAGCATGCCAGGCATCCCTGTCCATCACCAACTCCCAGAGTTTACCCAAACTCACATCCACTGAGTCGCCGATGCCATCAACCATGTCATCCTCTGTCGTCCCCTTCTCCTCCTGCCTTCAATCTTTCCCAGCATCAGGGTCTTTTCCAATGAGTCATCTCCTTGCAGTCCAAGGGACTCTCAAAAGTCTTCTCCAACACCACAGTTCAAAAGCATCAAACAAACCAATAAACCAGCTACCACGTGTTGAGTTCTGGTGTACTATCAAAGAAGAACGCTCACGATTTTAACTGAAAAGACATCTTCCTTTTCCAAATATTTAACTGTTATGAGACCAGATTTCTTGCAAATACTTCACCCAAAGCCATATATCACAACAAACTGAGAATGCAGAAACAAAACTAAAAATTCATTTATCTATTAAGCTAGACTGTCAAGAGACCTGAAAAAATGTAGAACAAGACCATTCTTTCACTTTTCTTTGTTCTGAAAAAATGTTTTAAAAATGAAATTAACAGGTTAACAGGTTTGTTAATGCTACTTTTAAATGAATAATATTTTTAATTTCTCAGCCTTAATTTTTTTTAACTTTTTATTTTGTATTGGGGTACAGCCAACTGATTAACATCATCATGAGAGTTTCAGGTGAACAGTGATTATATACATACATACACATGTATCCATTCTCCCCCAAACTCCCTCAGTCTTAATTTCTAATACAATAAATATTGATGTAACCCATATATGTGAAATTCTTTGGGGTCTAAAAATAATTTGAGGGTGTAAAGAGGTCACAAAGATTAAGAAATCTGACAACAGCATGTCAGAAATGCAAGGTTTAATAGTGAAAAACCAATGAGACTAGCCAGATTATCAGAATGAGAAAAATATGATCCTTTCAATAAGCAGAAAAAGCACTTAAAATTCAACAGTCATTCATAACTTAAACGGTCTCAGTGAACTAGTAAGTGACAAAGATATCCACTTCCACCACTTTCTATTCAACACTGTATTAGAAGTGCCAGCAATGAAGTAAGGCAAAAACAGAAACAAGTCATAAAAACTGAAAAGGGAAAAGTAAAACTGCCTCAATTTGCAAATAGTCATGCTTATGTTCATAGAAAACCCAGTGAAATCTATGAAAAAACTACTAGGAACTAACAAGTGAATTTGGCAAGGTCACAGGATAAATATAAATTTTATTTTTATAAACTAGCCACGATCACTGGAAAACAAAGATTTTTAAAGTATTGTTAACAGCTAAGAAATAAGTTCCAGAGTCTAATAACAAAAACCATGCAAGATTTCCATACTGAAAAGTTATGAGCTAAGAGAAATGGACAACTATACCTTATTTAAGGATTTCGGTACTCAATACCTTTATGATGTTCAGTCTCCCCAAACTGAACTGCAGATTCAATGCAATCCAAAACAAAATTCTAGGAGTCCATTTGTAGGAACTAATTCTAAAATTGTAAGGAAAAGCAAAGGAGCTAAAATAATCTTGAGGAAATAGAAAAAGTTGGAGAACTTACACTACCTTATTTCAAAACTTATTATAAAGCTTCAGCAAGCAAGACCATGTGGTAGAAGATTAATCAAATATATCAAAGAAACAAGAGTTCAAAAATAGGCCAACAATTGATTTTCAAGAAAGACTCTGAGGCAAATCAATGAGAAAAGGAAAATATTTTCAACATGTGACACTGGAAAAACTGGATATACAAACAAAAAAATAAAGCCTTAAAAATAATTTTGTGTAATAATTAGGGAATTGCATTACAATTACTCTTCTTAAGATAATACTCACATTTTTCATTTTGATGTTCCCCCAATCATCGTCCTGTTTTAAAGACAAATAATAAACATTTAACCATCCCTGTATAATCCAAACATAATCTAACAATCAAGTAATTTTAGACTTCTACTTCAAAATAAAAATTTTCTGCATGCAGATTTTAAAATTACTGTAATCAAAAATATTTTTAAAAAAACAAAAAAACTAATGCAGCCTTAAAACTAATAGGTCTAACAACTGTTTAAACTACATAAGATACCATCTAAAAGACAGTAAACTTGCAGCACCAGAAGTACTGAAACACTTGATTGATGACATATGACAAATGCTAACTTTCTGCATGTTTGGAACCAGCAGAGCTAAAAACAACTTATGTGATAAGAACAAAGAACAACCTAGGGAATGAAATAGGTTTACACAATTAGGATGATTATACAACTAATCACCCAAATCAAGAGACTTGGAGAATAAAAGTGCTACTACCAATTATACCAGGAGAGTAAATAAGACCACCCAAGGCAAACTAACCATTACTAACATTTGCTGCATCCACAAATATTTCTCAGGACCTAAATTTCACACCTATGCATCAATTAACAAATACTTTAACTTCTATATATTCATTTAATGGAGAAGGAAATGGCAACCCACTCCAGTACTCTTGCCTGGAGAATCCCATGGACGGAAGAGCCTGGTAACCTATAGTCCACGGGGTGGCAAAGAATCGGACATGACTGAGCTATTTAAACCATGTTTTCTGAAATGCTGATTGGCACAGATATTTTGTCAGCTAAGCCCTTCCTTTCACAGGAAGTCAGTTCCATATCAGTTCCTTCCTTTCCACAGAAGGTACCAGGCATTCCATATGCTTCCCTTGGGTGGTGCTACTATCTCTTTTTAGACATCCTACTTCAAAGGGGAAAGTAAGTTCCTAAATCCCTTCTCAATTTAAGGACTATTACTGCTAATCAAAAGGAATGGTAACTATATATGCCCCCTGAGATAATGTACTTCTCCAAGGTCATACAAAGTTGGGAAGTGAACCCAGATTTGCTTGATCTGTAAATTCCATGTTCCTTTGGTCCCTTATTATGTTACTTAAACCTCTCTGGTGATCAGTTTCCTCGTTTATCAAATACATAAAATAATTTACTTTCCTCATTTTTAAAATACATACAGTTGAAAATAAAAGAATAAATATTCTTATATTGTTTTATTGCCCAGTTAACAGGGGTAGCCAATCCTCATCTCTAAAACAGTGTGATCACTGTAAATGAACTAAAGGAAAAGTTAAGTTGTATTCATTGATACCATGCATTTAAAATAAAAACATTAATGCTGCTCAATAGCAGTGTTTTGAAACAGCTACACTGTTCCTTTCTTAACATGACTAGGAGTTTTAATCCCATAGACTATCTACTGTCACCAAATAAAAATACCTCAAATGTTACATTTTCTGGTGTTAATTATTTTCACAAGTACATAATGAGAATTTCGACTACATTTTACCTTCAGTGTTCCTCCTTTCACCATAACTTTCTGTCTGGCCGGCTGGACTCCAGTCAGTGCAAAAAGCTGAGCCTTGAACACCATTGGAGGTTCATCAGTATTCAGTTCTACACCTTCAAATTTCTCCTTTCCCCATTTCACAGTAACTGCAAACAAAACATAATTTTGTTTTCATTTACAAAATAACAAGGCTTAAGATTTAGAAGATCCTTAGAACTATTAGGCTAGTTCTTGACCACCAAACTATGTCACTAACCTTTTTACTCTACTAATGCTTACCAAATCAGAAGCGAAGTGAGTGCAAAAGATCTTAGATAAAATTTAACTGGATCTAATCCAACTCTCCACTTCTCTGGTGGCTCAGACGGTAAAGCATCTGCCTACAATGCGGAAGACCCGGGTTTGATCCCTGTGTTGGGAAGATCCTCTGGAGAAGGAAATGGCAACCCACTCCAGTACTCTTGCCTGGAAAATCCCATGGATGGAGGAGCTACAGTCCACAGGGTCGCAGGAGTCGGACACAACTGAGCAACTTCACTCACTCAATCCAACTCTCATTTGATAAATAAGTAAACTGAGACTTAAAAGAAACAGAGTGATTTATTAACTTCACAAAACTAGTCAGTAAATATTCAAGGTTTCTGAATCCTCCTCCAATAATATATGCAAAAAAAGACGACACTGAAACACCTCCCAGAATAAGGTTCACAGGCTTCAAAATGTGTTTATTTGAACAATTATTAAGATCAGGTAAGGTCTGCTTCCTGAGCAAGAGGTGGTCAAGTATTAAGAAAAATCCAAGAATTCTCTGGCAGTCCAATGGTTAGGACTCTGCTTTCACTGCAGGAGGCTGCATTTGATTCCTGGTTGGGGAACTAAGATCCCAAGTGTGTGGGTGTGGCCAAATTAAAAACAAAAAAAGAGAGAGAGAAAAGTCAAAAAATATACCTGAATCATTAAAAAAATATAGAAATCCTACTTCACAGCCATTCAGATGGCTACTACAAAAGCAACATGGCAAACACACACACATACACACACACACAGAAAATAACAAGTGTTGGCAGGAATGCAGGCAAATTGGAACCCTTGCGCGTCTCTATGGAAATTTAAAAATGGTGCCACCACTGTGGAAGGATGGTAGTTCCTCAACAAGTTAAGCAAGAATCACTACTAAACGACCCAGCAATTCCATTTCTAGGCATATACTCAAAAGTATGGAGAGCAGGGAATCAAACTGACACTTACATGCCCACGTTCATAGCAGCATTATTTAACAACAGCCTAGAAACAGGAGCAACCCAAGCGTCCATCAACAGATGAATGAATGAACAAAATGTAGTATATACGTACAATGGACGTTATTCAGCCTTAAAAAAATAATGAAATTCTGATACATGCTACCAAATGGATGAAACTTGGAGACATTATGCTAAGTGAAATAATCTAGATAACAAAAGGATAAGTACTATATGACTCTACTTATGTGAGGTACGTAGAGAAGTTCACAGAGACAAAAAGTAGAATGGTGGTTGCCCGTAGAATGGTAGAGGCTAGGGAGAAATGGAAACGGGGAGCTATTGCTAAATGAGTACAGAGTTTCAGTTTAGGAGCATCAGAAATTTCCGGAGGTGGATGTGATGTTTGCATAGCAATGTGAATGCACTGAAGGTCAAAAATTGTACACTTAAAAATGGTTAGAACTATTAAAAGTTATGACCAACCTAGATAACATATTAAAAAGCAGAGACATTACTTTGCCAACAAAGATCCGTCTAGTCAAGGCTATGGTTTTTCCAGTGGTCATGTAAGGATGTGAGAGTTGGACTATGAAGAAAGCTGAGCACCGAAAAATTGATGCTTTTGAACTGTGGTGTTGGAGAAGACTCTTGAGAGTCCCTTGGACTACAAGGAGATCCAACCAGTCCATCCTAAAGGAGATCAGTCCTGGGTGTTCACTAGAAGGACTAACGCTAAAGCTGAAACTCCAATACTTTGGCTACCTCATGCGAAGAGTTGACTCATTGGAAAAGACCCTGATGCTGGGAGGGATTGGAGGCAGGAGGAGAAGGGGATGACAGAGGATGAGATGGCTGGATGGCATCACCGACTCGATGGACGTGAGTTTGAGTAAACTCCGGGAGTTGGTGATGGATAGGGAGGCCTGGTGTGCTGCAATTCATGGGGTCACAAAGAGTCAGACATGACTGAGGGACTGAACTGAACTGAATTACATATCCTTTAGAACATGTTACATATACTTTACCATAATAAAAAATTCAATCAATCTCATAAAATAGCTACTTTTGAAATATGTAAAAATAAACTAGGGAATTCCCTGGTGTTCCAGTGGTTAGGACTCCACGCTTTCACTGCCCAGGGCCTGGGTTCAATCCCTGGTCAGGGAACTAAGATCCCCAAAGACCCATGGGGCTGCCATTTAAATAAACATACTAACTCCAGGATCTACATAGTTTTTTCCATTGAAACCTTTATACCTACTCAAAATGAGAATCCCACAACTAGTAGTTGTCTGATTTCTCTGATTACTAAAATCAGAATGTAAAAAAGTGACCCTCGAACATCCCAGGCAATCCAGAGATTAAGACTCCATGCTTCCACTCCAAGGGGCTTGGGTTCATTCCCTGATCAGAGAAATAAGATCTCTCATGTCAGGCAGCACCAGTAAAGAAAAAAAAAAGTGTGACCCTGACTCCAAATCCCAGTTCAATCAATGTTAGCATTCATTCAGTGATAAACCCAGTAGAAAGCATTAGGGAGACTCTATGAACTTACAATTTAATAAAGCAAAGACAGAAAAAGGCTAAAACAATCAACAATATGAATATTACAAATGCCAGAGGAACACAAGGTAATGCTTCATGAGTGAGGGAAAACACCCTGGAGAAAGTGATACTAGAAGTTACCACTATCGACTTTTGAGTCTGAAAGAAGAAATTAGGTGTTAGCCCGAAAATAAGAATAAAAGCATTCATGGAAAAGATACTCAAAAGTATAAGGCAGCACTGGTATCCTGAGAGACAAGTAATTTCCAGAGTGATGGGGAAGCAGCTGAAAAAGGAGAAACGGACCAAGGACCAAGTCAGGGAGGACAACTTAAGTCATATTAAAATGTACAGGCTGTATGTTGCACAAAAGGTGCAGTCCCTGAAAGGTTTATAAAAGCCACTTTGGTTTGAACATTAGATCACTCCAGCAGTGGCAGAGAAAATATAGGTTTGAAGAGGGAACAACTACAATCACTGAGATAAGCCAGAAACATAAAACAATAGCACAAACAAAAGATGAGAGAGGAAAAGATCAAAACAGTAAGAGAAAAAATGAAGATGAATATATCTGAAATTTATTTAACTATGTCACTGTGGCCAAGTTAAACTTTTCACCTACCCATAAAGGACAATTATACCAATACCAAAGGATTCTGTTGGCAGATTAAAACAAAGCAATATGTATAAAAACCTGAGCTTTGCACCAAACACAAACGTATTTACGGCACTTACCCTTCATCATATATGAGACTGGACATTTAATTCTTTTTTTACTAAATCTTAATCAGTACTTAAAATGTTTTTTTTTTTAATATAGGAATTTTCACAGAACCTGGAAATAGATTCTCAATATGGAGATGTCAAAGGAAGAAACCTTAGAAATCTACTTCAGTTCCCTCATTTTGGAAATAAGAAAAAGAGCTGATTAGATATTTAAGATGGAACTCAATTTTTAAGCCAGGAAGTTTGGTGAGTACAGGCATTTTTCGAGGGGAACAAAGACAGGGATGGTTTAATTGCGAGCCTACCTGTGTGCTTAAGTATCAGCATGCACTGATATTTACCTACCATGACTTAATGCTCATTAAATTTTTTATTGCATAAATAGAATATTTCAAGTGTTAATTGTTATGGCTTTCAGAAAGAGGTTGAACTATCATTATTAAAGCATTCAGGCACACAAGCGTTTTGAGGACATTACTCTGCTATGGTTCCCCCCCTTTGCCTGATAAAGCAATAAAGCTATTCTTTTCTACTTCATCTCTACCTTCCCCCCAAACAAAAGATCATTATTAAAGTATTTAATTCAAAATTCCAGAATGTCAAGAATCCACCTCGAGTTTTAAATATTATTCTTTTGTTTGATGTCATTCTTTCAAAATGCTAAATGTTCACGAAAGGAATTATGATACAGTGTCAACCATAGCCAATGAATCACACACCCATAGCTAACTGGAACCACCACAGAGGTTTTAGGTGCCATTTTGAATCAAGACTGGGAGACAGCAAGGTCCATTAACTCCAGTAAAAACGTGATCCTGCCTCACACACTGGACTACCATCACGCCAAAGGGTGGGTCGGGGGGGGGGGGGGAGAAACTGTCAAACGCCAATCAAAATGAAATGATGCCCTTGCCCGCGGATATTTGTATTCCTTCACCTCTTAAAAGCTAACACTGTGCTTCGGCCGTGGAAGCCCAAAACAATGTTTCATGAAACAAAAACGAAGCAAAAAGGTAAGTTCGCCATCTGCCTCGGGATAAAACTGAAATTGATACAAAAGGGGCGGTGGCAGCTCGAGAAGTAAGCCGAGGGAAATCCCAAGAACGTCGAAGGCTAACCTCCCATCCCCGGCCCCTCCACCACTCCCTGGCCCAGGCTTCCCCTCCTGGCCGCCCCCCTCCCGCGGCCAGGCTACCACTCGAGAAGCCCGGGAAATGCCACCGCACCTCCAGCCTGGTCCACCCTCACCCCAAGCCGCAAGCGACGACAGCGACACAAACTATTCTGCAGAGTCACCACTCGGAGGGGGCCGACGCGAGCTGCTTCCCCACCTCGCCCCCCGCGCCCACCCCACCCACCCGGCGGCGCCGGGGGCCCCGGCTCGCCTCACGCCGCAGGGCCCGGAACTCGCGCGAGAGAGGAAGGGGCGCGGGGTCCCTCGGCGCCGCGGTCCCCCCGCCCGCCCCGTGCTCGGCCGGCAGCCCGCCCCGCGGGCCGGGCCTACCCAGCGGCCTAGCCCCGGGCGGGACTGCTGGCGCGCGGCGAGGAGGAGCTCACCGGAGTAGAGCGGCATGGCGGGGCGCGGGGGCGCGGCGGCACGGGAAGGCCGGGCCTGGCAAGGACGACGAAGGGAAGGGGCCGCGAAGGAGCTGCGGTGGCGGCCGAGGCGGAGGCGCGGCGGTGGCGGTGGTGGTTGCGGCAGACACGGGGCGACAAGAAACTCATTCAAACCGGCCCCTGGCGATGACGCAGCAGCACGCCGCCCGCCTGCCGAGCCACCGGGCGACTGCGGGGAGGAAGCGAGGCGGGGCCTGCGGGTGGAGAGACAAGGGCGGCGGGAGAGGCGGGGCGCGCGCAGCCCCTGCGCCGCACAGGTACGCGCCTGCGCACTGCGCCCCGCCTGCGCCCACCGGGCTCGGGCACCGCCCCGCCCCGCCCCGCCGGGCCGCAGAGGGAGTGGGGGCGACCTGGTGTCCCTACGGCAGCCTCTTCAAAGTCTTCTTTCTCTGTTTCCGAATGGCGGGGCGGTGCAAGCTGCGGCTTTATTCTTTCTACTAAAGGAGCCAGGAGGAAAGCCTTGCCCCACCCCTCAACTTGGTCGTCTTATTAGTGAAAATGTCTAGCCCTCCCTTTCAGGATTTTGCAACAAAAAATAACATCAAGGTACTTGGAGAGTATTTCATATAGGCTTGTCTTGGTTTTAACGTGTTACTGTTGTTCCTAACACCTGTTGGGATTCTCGGTTGGATCTAGTAGAGGAACAGATACAGCGCCCCTGACTGCCCCGCGGAAGACTTATTTGCAGCCTCCACTTAATTGTACTCACCTCTTTCCCCAGCCTGGAAAAGAAGGAAATTAGACTAGAAGGTTCCTGTTGTTATTTGGTTGCTCGGTCCCCTTTGACCCTTTTGCGACCCCACCCCTGGAATGTAGCCCGCCAGATTACCTTGTCAGTGAAATCCCAGGCAAGGATACTAGAATGGGTTGCTGTTTCCTTCTCCAGGATGGTTTCTGAGGCCTCTTCAAACTCTTAAGTTGTCATGGCTGAAATCAGTTTCATTCTAGATGAGTTACAGAGGAAACAGAACCTGTGAATGAACAAAGGAATTTCGAAAAGGTGCAAATTAAAGGTGTTTCCTGCCTAATACCGAGGTTTTATAACGACCCTTTATACTGCAAAAGAGGAGCTGGGATAGTGGCTATCTCAAAACTAAAACGGGCCATATTTCAACCCAGTTGGAGAGTGATTTCATCAGTCTACATCAGGAGTCTTATTCACCCTTTACTATTTCACTATTCAAGACCCAAAATGTGACCAAAAGGACACGAAGATGCTGTAGAACATTATTTAAAGTAACATGTGTAATATTAAGTCATCATAGATTCAGATTTTTTTTAAATTGGAGTATAGTTGAGTTACAATGTTGTGTTCCTTTCAGGTATACACCAAACAGATATATATATATACACACACACACAAAGAATTCTGTATAGAATATATATATTCTTTTTCAGATTCTTTTTTGGTATAGGTTATTACAATATACTTAATATACTTTACTATTCTTAATATACTTATCTATTTTATATATAGCAGTGTCTGTTAATCTCAAACTAATCTATCCCTTGCCCCAATTTCCCCGATGGTAACTGTAAGTTTGTTTTCTATGTCTGTGAGCCTATTTCGGTTTTGTAAATAAGCTCACTTGTACCATTTTTTAAGATTCCACATATATTTTTCTTTGTCTTAGTGTAATCATTTCTAGGTCCATCCATGTTGCTGTAAATGCCATTATTTCACTCATTTTTATGGCTAAATGGGAAGGTATGGAATACTTGTTTATATACATCCCCTCTCTCTTTATCCATTCATCTGTTGATGGGGCATTTAGGTTGCTTCCATGTCTTGACTACTGTAAATAGTGCTACAGTCAACATTGGGGTGCATGTATCTTTTCAATTACTTTTCTCCAGACATATTTCCAGGAGTGGGATTGCAGGATCATATTGTAACTATTTTTAGCTTTTTAAGGAAACTCCATACTATTTTCCATAGTGGCTGCACCAATTTACATTCCCACCAACAGTGCAGGCGAGTTCTCTTTTCTCCATACCCTCCTCAGCATTTATTACTTGTAGACTCAATGATGGCCATTCTGAGCAGGGTGAGTGGATACTCCATTGTAGAGTTTTTCCAGGGTTTTTTTTGTTTGTTTTTTTGCCTCGAAGTGTGGCACATAGAACTTCCCAGACCAGGGATTGAACCCACATCCTCTGCAGTGGAAGCACTGTTTTAACCTAAATTGGACTGCCAGGGAAGCCCTTATTGTAGTTTTGATTTACATTTCTCTGTTTCTCTGATAGGGCTTCCTTGGTTGCTCAGTGCAAAAGAATCCGCCTGCTAATGCAGGAGATGCGGATTTGATCCAGGGTTGGGAAGATCCCCTGGAGAAAGAAATGGCAACCCACTCCAGTATTCTTGCCTGGGAAACCCCATGGACAGAGGAGCCTGGTGGGTTACATACAGTCCACGGTGTCGCAAAAGAGTTGGACGTGACTTAACGATTAAACAACAACAAATTTCTCTAATAATCAGTGATGTGGGGCATCTTTTCATGTGCCTTCCAGACATCTGTATGTCTGCTTCGGAGAAATGTATATTCAGATCTTCTTCCCATTAAAAAAAAAAAGAAACTATTTGGCTGCATCAGGCCTTAGTTGTGGGATGTGGGAACCTTTGGTGGGTTTTTCCTATCTTTCAACATACATCTATTTCTTCAACATCTGTATTCCCCCCACCAGACTATAAAACAGAATTGTGGCTTCCCAGCAGACACTCTGGAATTATCAGATGCTGTGAGAATTGGATGTAAGAGAAATTTTTTTGAGCTTGCTTGTTGTATCCATGACCAGGGAGTTTTAGACTAAGTTTATTTTCAACACAGCCCCAAATTTTGGTACAACTAACTTCTAGCCTCACTGGGGGACCTGAATTTAAGACAAAGCAGGCAGAGTGAGAATTTGAAACAATGCTAGCACTGAAAGGAGGCATAGAAGGAAATTTGCATGACTGGTCTCCATGGATGTCTCCAAGAGTTGTAGATAATCAGCCACCTTGGTGCACATCTTATATATACATGCCTAAATCCTGATCTACTTGTTTCTACTGGAGAGAATCTTCTGCTTAAGGTGGATTTCTTTAAATAATAAATATATTGGTAATATCTTAACCTGTTCACTTATAAATAAACAAGTTCCTGTAAAAGATGGCAGATACCAGAAAGGCTTTTAGTTGGTGAACCACCTACCGTTTGTTGCTTGGAATGCCCCCCATCATCTGGCCAACAAAAATCCTATGCATCTGTAACGTATTTAATGCTAACTCTTTTACATTTGCTTCAAGTCTGCTCCTATAATTACCCCATTTCTATCAAGTAGCAACATCATAGCTGTTTGCTCTTCTGATTCACAAATATGTACTGAGTGCAAGACATTCAGTGTAGAAGCTGTGGATTCAAAGATGAATCAAACAAAGGTTCTCCCCTCCTGAGACTTAGAATCTACTAGAAATATTTAAATTGGCTCTGAATTAATCAGAGCTCTTGGCTGTAAACAACAGAAACCTGAGACAAGAAGCTCATGGGTGATATAGGGTAAATTTACACAATCATTAGCAAAACCTGGGAACCAGGCATAGGTCATGGATAGAAACCCAGGGACGTGGGCAACAGGGAACATAGCCAGGGTCACAATCTGGCCACTCTGCATGAGTAATTTCAAATCCCAAGCCTACTTCACTCCTTCAAAATTCTGTGTCCTGAGCAAGAATACATAGTTGACCAATGACGAGGAAAGGAATGCCTGAATCCACTTCCAACTCAAACACACTGGGGTACGGGGCATAAGCTGCCCCAAATCAAAGGGCTACGTATTTATTTCTTACCTCTGCTGTAACAAATTACCACAAATTTAGTAGCTTGAAACCACACACACACACACAAATTTATCACTTTATACTTCTGGCAGACAGAAGTCCAAGAAGGGTCTTAACCTTAAGTATTGGCAAGACCACACTCTTTCTGGAGGCTCCAGAGAAAAATTCATTCCTTACCTTCCCCAGATTCTAGAGGCTCCCCACATTCCTGGTCTTGTGGCCCCACTCTGACCTCGGCTTCCATCCGCCCAGCAACTCTTCTCAGTCAGATCCTCTGCCTCCCTCTTTATAAAGCCCCTTGTGATTACACTGGCCTCCTCTGGATAACCAGGATATGTTAATTTAAAGTCTCTAGAGTAGTTGTAGAGCAGAAACTAACACAACATTGTAAAGCAATTGTAGTCCAATTTAAAAAAATAAACTAAATCAATTAAAAAATAAAATCCCTAGAGTAATCAGACCTGCATATAAAGTAACATATTCCCAGATTTAGGAGATTCAGACATGGGCATCTTTGGGGAAGCATTACACTGTCTACCACAGGCTTCCGCTTCCATAAAACCCCAGCAAATATGCAAACAACATACATGGATTCATTTTATATTCCCAAATCATATATGAGGAGCAACAGCTTTGCTTCATGAGGCCTTCAACAAAGACCAACATTTCTTCCAAAAAGTTATCTGCTATCCCCTAAAGCAGAACTTCTGTTTAATGTGGATGTGAATCACCTGGGATTCCGTTAAAGTGCAGACTCTGATTCCGCAGGTGTCGGATGAAGCCTAAGATACTAACAAGCTCTCAGGAAATCACCCTTTTGAGCAGCAAAGCAGTAAAGAGCTTGTCTTTTTCTGTTTGGTCGGAGATGGGTTGCAAACGTAAACTGGGTCTCAGCCCACAGGAAGAATATAAGCGGGGGACGGGAGAGGTGGTTGCGGGAAGCACAGGGCAGCAATATCCTTTTAAGAAAGAGGAAAAGGAGGGATGTGGGCAAATCACGTCCATTCACATTTCAGTGGTGAAAACAATCATATGGCCAAGTCGCACGGAATTCTGGGAAATGTAGTCTCCCTGAGGTCCAAGACGCCGCGTTATCATTTGATGTATTTGTTGAATAATGGACTTGGGGTGGTGATGAT